ATGTTCTGTAGTGCTGTATAGCATAGACAGTATATTGTACTCTGCAATTAACAACAACAATTTCCACCCCTCCCTAGGTGTAGTTTTTGAAACGTGACATTATGTAGGTTTATTTGGCATTATAAGTTTTTTGTGACATTACGTAGGTTTTTCTACAAGATCTCAACTTAGCCCTAGGCTGTTGTACACTTGTTGTGTACTTGTTCCGTAGCTGTACGTATTGCCTAAATGTCATGATACTTCAGCTATCAATGTTTGGCTCTGATGTGATGTAACATTGCTTCGGAGATGGCATTATTGATGGTCTAAGCTGTATGTGTTAATAATCTGTGCTGGTGATAATTCCATTAGTTTCTTGTCTTAAATACACTTACTTGAGATGTATGCAAAGCCAAAAATTAGTTGCTAATCCGCTTTTTCTTATTCAACCTTTAAATTACATATGCAAAAAATGTGCTGAATTTAAAAAAAAAGCGATAAGAAAAGAAAATTCCTGGTTGGTGAATTATATTAAAACTAACAGGTGAGAAAATATAGTACATACAGGAACATTTATTGAACGTGAATAACTTATTTGTACAAATCTTCTTTGAAGATTTCAGTGCATAATCTTATTTATTTTCCAACTGGCACTAGTATAGGGCTGGTTACGTATAATAATTATGGGAAATAAATGACTTTATTACATCAGGCATTAATTCTTATTTCCAGTCACTTAAATTTTATAGAAATTTATTTTACGATAAATAAGCGCCTAGATGTGCGAAAATGTACGTGTCGTTGAGTCAATCCTTCACAGCGCTCATGGTGAGCAAGCGCGAAATGTACTATTTGCACACTAGGAACTACCAAGGCAGCAAGTTGACATTTTCTGACGTTTTTGGGGTTTTCACGTAATAGCCCTGCGGGGTAAATATTAGGGGTGTACGAATATTTTGAAAGCATCAACGTTTGGATGAAAAATTTAGCAATAGTACTGTGATCGTGCTTAAACCAGGCTCCAGCGGATGGTTAAGGAAACCGTGAGATGCTAATGTTTAGAATTGAATAATATCGCAGTGCAATGATGATCGGTCTCTCTGCATGCTGCCCAGCATTGAAGAAAGCATCTCACAGAGTAAAGCCACGTGTCAGTTAACTTTTTTTGAGACAATGTCAGGAACCAATTCTGAGTCGAAAAACGTCGCCTGTTTTTTATACAGGGTGGCGCATCGGTTCAGTAGTTTGGAAGATTTATTGATTTAAAGCTTAAAGTAAACTTTAATAGGTACATCAGATTACTTTGTACTACTTTCAGAAGAAATTTGACTAAAAGAATTTACTTAATAAGTAAATGTTTTTCTTCACTACGCCCATGGTTTGTTTATCATTTTGTTGTTGAAAATAGCTATTGGAGCGTTTTTTTGTGGCAAAAAAGTTATTGCTTGAAGAAATATAAGGAAATATCTCGTACTTATTTTAAATAGGAATTTAGTACATTTTGCGATTGATTTGAGCAAACTTTGTTGCTAAAATAACCTGTAACGCTTTATTACATAAATTAACCATGGTATATTCCACAGCAGAAAGAGTTGAAATTATCGAAATATTTTTCTGAAATAATTAGTGCGCTAGTAGAACAGCAGAAATATTTAATGAGCGACATAAGAACAGTAACGTGCATTGAAAATGTTCTAGAACTTGTAGCTAAATTTCGGGAAACTGGGTCAGTCGCTAATAAAAAACGTAACATTGAAAATCCCATAAGGAACGAAGCGATAGAAGTGGGGGTTTTAGGGCAAGTTTATGTAGATCCTACGTTAAGTACCCGCAAATTTGAGACTGTGTGTGGTGTTAGTCGACGTACTGTCCAACGGATTCTAAAGGCCCATAGTTTTCATCCGTATAAAATTCACCTGGTACAAGAACTTAATGAAGACGATTTTTATCGGCGATTACAATTTTGCGAAGATATGTGTGAACGAATTATAGACGATGAAAATTTTCTATTCAACACTTGCTATTCTTAAATGGCGTGGTAAATCGTCATTACTGCAGATATTGGTCCGATTCTAATCCCAGAATTTATCATGAGGTTCATACACAGCAGCCACAAAAATTAAATGTTTGGGCTGGTACTTTTGGCGATCATTTAGTTGGTCCTTTTTTCTTACCTGGAAATTTGACCGGTGGAATGTATTTGGAATTACTGGAAGACGCCATAGATCGTGCATTAACAGCCATAACTGAAAATCAGAATGATCGGCGGTACATTGCGAATAGGTTGATGTTCCAACAGGCTGGTGTCCCACCACATTACGCATTACGTGTTCGACAATATTTAGATCAGACGTTTCCAGATCGATGGATTGGTAGAAGAGGTGCCATTGAATGGCCCCCAAGATCGCCAGATCTATCACCATTGGATTTCTTTATGTGGGGTCATTTAACAAGCAAAATCTATGCTACTCAGCCAACATCATTAGAAGACCTGCGACAAAGAATTGTGAATGAGTGCGTTCAAATTACTCCTCAAATATTGCAAGATGTGCGGCAACGTTTTGACCAAAATCTTTATTATTGCATGGAGATTCATGGTGGCCATTTTCAACATTCACTTTCCTAACGGGTCAGTTCATTCTTCATTTTTAAATTACTTTGCTGCCAAATGTATTGATCTCTACTAATAATGATGTATTAGTTTCATTTAAGCTTTAAATCAATAAATCTTCAAAACTACTGAAGTATACTTTATCTGAAGTCACTTGAAACACTGTGAAATACCGGGTGCGTTTTATATATCTATATTTAACACGCTCTGTTGCTGCAAAAATCGCCAAATTTCGCAGCAAATAAGATCAAAGGCAGTTTCACCGGTCCACGTGGAGTAAAGCACGCCTATGCGTGGACATAGCCAATGAGAAAGCGTGTATTTCAGAGCTCCGAACAAGTGCAGGTGGCTACTGAAAATTGAAACAGTTTAGCCAGTGCCGTGTAGCGGTGAATAAACGTGTTTTCTTTGGTCTGTCCGTGTTTTTTCATAGATTTTATTAGTTTGTGTGTTTTTGACTTTTGAATACTCAGTTTACTTGTTGATTTAATTGTTGTGTTGATTGTTCTTGTGTGTCCTAAATATGGCTCTTTGGAGACCTTGGGAAAATGCTCCAAGCCACGAGGAGATGGTTGATGAACCTGTGCAGGCAGAATTCTTTCATAAAGATTTAGAGGAACAGACCCAAAGAGCAATCCTAAATATGTATGTATGATTGTCTGAAAAACGAAAATCCAGATTCCTCGCAAATTCAAATTTTAAACAGAATTTGTATCCAGACAAAAATCAGTCGGTCTACCATTTATCGGGTTATAAAAAGGGGAGATGTAGTCAACCATTCCTTCCACAGAAAGCGCATAGGGCAAAAATTAAAAAGAATAGACGTGGGTTTTCAGGAAGATGTTGGTCGTATAATATACGGATTTTTACAAATGCTTAGACTCACTGCACTGTATTGTAAAACTGTGTGGTTTTCAATACAAAAAATTAGATAAAAGAATGGTGATTATGGAGTCGTCTCGAATCGTTGAATTGCGCCAAGAATTTTTGCACAAAGTTAAAATCTATAGAGAGCAGAAAAGAAATCTGATTAACCTGGATGAAACGTGGTATGATACCTATGATGTTGTGCAGTACGGCTGGGTTGACGACAGCAACAAGTGCATTTTAAATACACCATGCAACCGTGGAAAACGAATCATTATTCTCCATGCTGGCAGTGAAAATGGATTTATACCTAATGCCTTGCTGTTATCTGCCAAAAATATCAAAGAATCATGTGCCGACTATCATGAGGACATGACCTCCGACTTATTTGAAAAGTGGATAGAGCAGCAGTTAATACCAAACATTTCCCCAAATTCAGTGATTATTATGGACAATGCGCCATACCATTCCCGACAGAAAAACAAAATTCCGAATACAGGCACAAAAAAACAAGACATTATTGATTTTATGAAGGATAAGGGAATGGAAATACCACAAAAATCAACCAAAGCCATATTATTGTATCTTATTAAAAGACAAAAATTTGAAAAAGAGTATGTTGTTGACAATCTGCTTCAGCAAAATGGCCATGAAGTTTTACGTCTACCTCCCTATTACTGCATTTTTAACCCGATTGAGTTGGTCTGGGCTGCTTTAAAAAAAAAGTAAGAAAACATAATCAGACCCCTCAATTAAGTGAATCGCTATTGGCCACAATAAGAGATGCAGTATCTCATATTGCTGCCACAGACCTATGGAAGCAGTGTTCTAGGCATATTATTGAAAAAGAAAATGAATATTGTGTTTTGTCTCCTGTAAATCCCGTTGTAATTCCTCTACAAGATGACTCTAGCGACAGCTCCGAAGGCGAGGATGATATATAAATACCTATAATGTAAGTCTTTATATACCTTTTTATATACCTACCTGCTATGTAAATATTTGCCTATGTCAAACGTTGGAATTCTGTAATTTTTCCATTTCTTAACTTTCAGTCAACATAAATTAAACTCCCAATATAAGCATTTTTTATCCCAAATCAAAAAAATAAGAAGATAGTAAAATCCATTTATTGTGATATAAAAACATTATTATTATCGTTCTAAATAAATGCCGCACGCCTATGATACGTCATGAAATTACAAAGGACGCGCCGACCAAAGGTTTTTATGCTATTTCAAGTGACTTCAGATAAAGTATACATTAATTTTATATCATTATAAAGGTAATTGAAAGACCTTTAAAATAAGGTATCACTCGACCCCCCTTTCCATTTAAGATTTTGGGGGTGGTGTCACCCCCGCTTAGGGGGCTGCACGTGCTAACGTGATTTTTTGCCAAACTTGTGTCCCCCTCGAAAACAAAATCGACCGGTCTGAGTGTTTTCCAAAAAAAAAACTGCGCCGCCCGTAAATGCGTCTGTTTCGTTTTCGATGCGCCACCCTGTATAGCTAATATGACATGCCTTTCCTTTTTCTTCCAGGATACGAATAGTACCCTACCTGAACTCCTCCAGCACCTCAGGATTGGTTTCGATGGTACTTAAAGCAGAAGAAGACACCAGTGAGATCATCTTTCATGCGAGAAACATCTCCATAGACAAGCATTCCGTTAGTGTTAGAAAAAGTTCTAGTCAGATAAAGATTAACGCACAAGACTACGCTGAGGGCGATAAGTACAAGATACGATTGGACGAAACACTTTCTAAAGGTGACGAATGTGAATTGTCCCTTGGTTATACTGGGATACTGGATAGGCACCTTAAGGGTTTCTACAAGGGGAAGTATGTTACTGCAAGGAATAATGAGAGGTAGGTGTACAGTTACCATAGAAAATGTCCTACGGAAATTTGTTACAAAGATATTAGGTCTACCAGATAGTTCTGCCGGTTATGCTATAAAAAAATAATTTTTTATACCTACCTGAGGTAGACATTGATTAAGGTATTCTAACTGAAGATAGCCAACCGAATGCTATATTTCCTCCAAAAATTCTCTGAGATAAAATGAGATACCGGAGCTATTTCTCTATTCACCTGTCCCACCATCGGGACCCCGAGAGAGACGCAAAACACCGAATTTTCCCAAATTTGTTGCAATTTTTTACTGACTTTATTCGTAGTGGAATTTTAAAATAACCATTAACATTTTCACTATTTCTCATCTGCACAGTGGTTACTCCTTCCCAAACATTCAAGCTCCATTTATTTTGGAAATCTATTTGCCTAACCCAGTAAGGGTTTCCCGTCTCATACTAGTGCATGTTATGCCTGTTAACAACATATATACTGTTAAAAGTTGCCTCATCGCTAAAAATAACCTTATCCAAGAAAGTAATGTCTTCACTCACTTGATTTAGGATTATTCTACTAAACTCCATTCGAGCTGCGAAATTCTAAGGACGAAAGCCGTGATGCAAGCATAGGTGATATGGATGGTACCTATGCTTGTGAATAGTCCTTCGGATAGAAGTTCTGCATATATCAGTTTCTGCTCCAATTTGCGGTGCACTTAAATGGGGATTTTCCTGCAACTTTAATAGGACCTCCAACTGATTCGCCTCATTTTTGATACTTGGATTATTTGTACATTTTTTACTATATTCCACTGCTCTACTTGATTCAAAACGTTCTGTGGAAAATGTTTCCGGCCTTGGATGTCGCATATTAGGGTATCGTTGCTTATAAATGCAAGATGCCAGTAAACTAGTTCTATTTCTTTGGGTTTCGCCCAAAACGAACACCATATTCACCATTTCTTCGTTAGAAAAATTCATATTCAAACACGTTTTCATTATAATGCTCACAAAGCTAATTTTGACAGTTTGTAACTAATCAACAATTTATTTGTTCCCAAGGATGATACATTTTAGGGAATTAAGCCCCACGTGTAGAAAAAATAGCCGTAAAAACCCTTGTGTCTAGTATAAAAAAAAGCTTATAAAAAATTTAATCCAAACTTGCACAAACATATAGGATGATGCATTTGAAATTTTTGAGAAAAACTACAATTTGCGTTTTTGACCACTTTGTATGAGCAAAAATTCGAAAAAGTAACAAATACGATAAAAGCTGTGGTGTGTAAGTTTTTTTGATACAAAATTCAGCACTGAAAATTTCAAAATGGCGGACTGAGGGGTTGCCGAAGTGGGGGGTTTTTCTAGACAAAACACCTTACATCTCAGTATTTAATTACCAAATCTCATAGTATGTTATATCAATTTTCTTCTTTTGAATTGGTTTATCCAAATATGCAATAAAATTTGAGGCATTCCATTTGAAAAATCATAACTTTGATATGTAGGTGAAAATTTTGGCAACCCTCTATAATTGCCAATATTTTAGAAATGTGCTCTCAAATGTCATGTATAACATGCCATTAATAGTTTCCCAAAATGTATTTGTTTATGAGTAATATTCCGTCCACACATGGATGGGCCACCCTGTATATATATATATAGTAAATAGAGAAACAGCTGTGACAAATTCTCATAGATGTAGCGTCGATAATTTTTTAAACGCATCAATATAGCATTAGTTTGGCTAGCTTCTGGTTGGATACGTTAATCAATGCCTGAAGTAAAGGTATGTAAGCCCTGAACATGACATTCAAGTTCGTCTCACTTAACTTATCTGCCATCCATCTCAAATATTTCCACTTTAGTCCAAATGCCCAAATACGGTCCGAATAGTTTGTTCAACTGAATCGAGCCTCCCTTATGTTGTCAAGAAAGATTTTGTTTTAACGGGTTATTGGTAGTATCGCCATCCATCAAAGAAGGCGTGGTTCATCGGACAGTACGAAGTCACCTTTTGAAATTTCTCAGAGCATGTTCTGCATGTTCTGTTAGAAACCCAACTTTACTGGGCGGCTTATATGCTTCCCTAGGGTGTTTTTTTAGAAAAACATCTTCTGCACGTTCTATTTGAAACTGCATATTCGCTAGATCCTTTAATAAGTTTGGATTGGCTTGGTATCATGTCTTTCTTCATGGAATCTGTACAAAATTACAAAAATGCAGTAGTGTGAATGGGCTTCATCACTAGCGATGGGGACTTTATCGCGTCTCCCTAAATTCCAGCACCAAAAGTTTTAATATTAATTGTTTTCCAAGATCAGCTTGTACACTTTCAGTTGGTAAAAATAGAGATTCAGATAACCGTTAAATGAAGATGCACGAACCCAAATATTTTTGATATTTATACAGGCAGAATTTTTCGGTATACCTAATAATGGGTGATTTTTTTGCTAGTATTTTTTTGGCAATACTGTTTTTGGCAGATGACGCGTGAATCGTGTCTTGTGTCATTGTCAAACTTGTTCAGTTTGGTCTATAATTTAACCATGAATCGACTTACGAACGAACAACGCTTGCAAATTATTGAATTTTACTATCAAAATTCATGCTCGGTTAAGAGAGTGCATCGAGCACTGCTTCCAATGTATGGGCAATTTGGTCGGCCTACTGAGGGAGCTATTCGGAAGCTTGTGACTAAATTTCGAACCCAGTTTACATCATTGGACATTAAACCACCAACACGCAGACGTAGAGTGAGGACTGAAGAAAATATTGCGGCTGTATCCGCCAATGTTAGTGATGACCGTGAAATGTCGATTCGCCGCCGTTCGCAGCAATTGGGCCTCCGTTACTCCACTACGTGGAAAGTTTTGCGACAGGATTTGGGTGTAAAACCTTATAAGATACAGCTGGTGCAAGAATTGAAGCCACACGACCTCCCACAACGTTTCCAATTTGGTGAATGGGCGCTGGCAAAGTTGGAGGAAGATCCACATTTTTATCGAAAAATTGTGTTCAGCGACGAAGCTCATTTCTGGTTGAATGGGTACGTTAACAAGCAAAATTGCCGCATCTGGAGTTAAGACCAGCCAGAAGCATTGCAAGAGCTACCAATGCATCCCGAAAAAAACACTGTTTGGTGTGGATTAAGGGCCGGTGGCATCATCGGGCCGTACTTCTTCAAAGACGACAATGGCCGGAAGGTAACTGTGAATGGCGAGCGCTACCGTGCGATGATAACAAACTTTCTTTTGCCCAAAATGGAAGAGCTGGACTTGGCTCACATGTGGTTTCAACAAGACAGTGCCACATGCCACACCGCACACGAAACAATGGCCCTATTGAGAGGCGAGCTCGGTGAACAGTTTATCTCACGTTTGGGGCCCGTCAATTGGCCGCCTAGATCGTGTGATTTAACGCCGTTGGACTATTTCTTGTGGGGCCATGTTAAGGCTAATGTCTACAGGGATAAACCAGCAACGACTGACGCACTGGAAGCCAATATTGAAGCATTTATTTGTGAGATACCGGCCGATATGTTGGAGAGAGTGTGCCAAAATTGGACCTTGCGCATGGCCCATCTAAAGCGGAGCCGCGGCCAACATTTACATGAAATAATCTTTAAACATTAAATTATATCGACCGTTCTATCGACTCAAATAAAGATTTAATCGTTTTTTCAAATTTTTTGTGTTTTTTTTTAAAATCAAATCCTATACCTCTTAAAAAATCACCCGTTATATATGCTGAAAGATGCTGCTTTATCAGTACCCTTTAAAAACGTTCATTCCGTTTCAGAACCAACTAGACCTATGACCAATTTTTACACCTTATGTTACTGTTCAATGTTTTATGGAAACTGGGCTTTTTGTGTGTGAATTAGGTTTGAAAAAACAGAAACTTTTGGATCACCATGAAAACCGAATAACTCGTGTTTTTATTTCATTGGTTAAACTCCCCAAAAATGTATTTGTTTATCTTTTCAGTTACTTCGCAAGTACGCAGTTCTCTCCTACAGATGCAAGAAAGGCTTTTCCGTGCTTTGACGAGCCATATTTCAAAGCAAAGTTTATCATCAGTTTGGCAAGGCCGTTCAATATGACCACTTTATCCAATATGCCATTAGGAAAATACGAGGCATAGTAAGTACTTATATTGTAAGGAAATACCGTTTTAACGATTTAAGTCTGATTTATCACCCGCACATTAATTTATTACAACACCTGCAACTAATTTACTGGTCGTCTCATCGGTGCACTCTCTACCTGCTTCTGTTCTCTGTGCGTGTATTTATCTTCGAATCGACAAATCTAGAAGCGTTCATGCGTCTTCATGCGATAGAATTCTCTTAAGCATTGAGTCGCTTATAATTTGAACACGCTCGAGCTTAGGAAAATATTACTAAGAACTGTTTTTGGTCGAAGCGATTCGGAAAACTCTAAAAAAAGATGTCATGAGCGACAAAAAAATATACTGAAGCTTAAAAAAATACTTTGCTGTATTCGGTACTGCAGAAGAAAATATAAGGAACACTGACGATTAATGACTTCTACAGTATCCAGTAGTCATTATTTCTGAACAGGTTGTGGCACCTTAGGGCAGTATCGTCAGTCATTCCTACAATATTGTAGGATGCCTTTATGGCCTCCTTGATTTTCATAGTTTTCTACTGTTCCGTGTTAGCGCTCTATTTTGAGGTTATGTTACAAATATCCGTTTGCATCAAATCGTTCAGGCTTTTGATTTATATTATCTGTTATATAGCCTGACATTTCTTTCAATTCAAAAAGAAAACATAGCCTCACAATAGGAGAGCGCAGACGCTGACACGGAATAGTAGAACTCTAGAAATATCCCAGCCTTTCTGAAGGATAGAAATACTATGAAAAATTCATGAACACGTCTACTGAAAGCCCCTCAGCATGAATCAACTGGTTGACGGTCGGTAACCCGGAGCAAGTTTTTTGAACAATGTATTTACACAAATTACAAATACATATGTTTTGCTCTTTACCTTTTGTTTCAGGTTTTTTGGATCATTATTTCTCTTCTCAAAGGTAGACCGTTTTCGAGTTATACATATATGATTCAATGTTTAAAAACGCATAAAACTATTATCCTCAATTATTAAGAACTCGGTTAAAAATTACTTTTGACATTGCCAAGTAACTAAATGAAATGCAAGTCCAAATATTTTCCTGTAAGATCCTGAAGAGCATTTTAAGCGTATTTAAATTTAAAGCAATATTCAATTTTGTTTGATATCCCAAAAACTTTTGGTTTTCGCAGACTGTACATAAAAGTTTAGCGTTTGCAAATTCTATTCGTCAAACTTTCGTTTATTTGTAGTGAAAACGACAAAACTTGGTACTGGGACGTCTACCCCGAAACCCCGGACATGCCAACTTACCTACTGGCTTTCATGGTATCCGAGTTGCAATCTGAACAGTCGACAGACACTCGAATCAAGTTGTGGGCTAGAAGCGACTTGACTCAATTCACTGCGTACGCAGGTGATTTGGCTCCGAAAATACTCAAGTACTTCGAAGAGTACTTTGGTACTAGCTTTCCACTGCCGAAGATGGATATTGTTGCTGTACCTGAGTTTGGATTTAGTGCCATGGAGAACTGGGGACTCATCACGTTTAGGTAAGTCATACATTTTCGACCACCATGGAGAACTTGACAATACTAGCAGTTTTATGAAAATAAAATGGCGTTAATTAGGTTGACTGCACTTCACACGCAACGCCGTTCATAAAAGGTTATGAACATGTATAAAAGAGAAATCAAACGGATCAACTCAGTCAAACAGTTTGCAATTAAACTGTATCCATCGAAGAAACAAAGTAAAATCAAACATATACACCCGTATTGCACGTGATCAAGAACTTAACCGTAGGAGACGCTACAGGGCCGTATCAAGCTATTGTGACTGATCTATCAAAAAATGTCGTACAAGATATGTGTTGCTGTAAATTCTATCAAAAGCATAGTAAATTATCAGGAATATACCACGCCTTTCTAATCATATTTCGACATTAGGAATCAGTGCAAAAAATTCTGTATTCAACATTTCAGCAAAATGTTACTAAAACGCACACGAAAAAAACTTGTGGACCATCTCAATTGAAATTGTTCATATTTTATTATTAACTTACATATATACCCAATAATATTTACAAATCAACCTTCTATTCACAATGCAGAGCAAATTTTTTTGAGCAAATAGAAACTACAGACGTAGTAGTAGTAGTACAAAAGTTTATTACAGACTCCATAAAGTTTGTTAGTTTGATTGCTATTAAAATTTACATGAGAAATAGGAAGAAGGTCAAAATGGCGCTATTATGTTTTGGAACTCCTAAATTAACCCTAATTTTGTGTAATTATAAATTTGGAATTTCCACATTAATAACTAGAAACTTACACTTTGATTGCAGTCTATAATGAACTTACCTGTCTTGCCAAAAAGCCCGTTAAACTGCCAGTCTTAATGGTATCAATCGATGTATATGCTGTATTCCGAGGAGCTTGAATCATCAGAATTGTTGATGTCAATTATAAGGGGTTCAACTTGGGTGTCAATGATATTGTCCATATCCCACATTTTGGTTTCAACCTTCTCTTGGACATGGTCAATACATGTTCTCCATTTTGCTGGCGTAATTCTATCGACAGCAACATCAAACAGTTTTTTAAGGTCAGAAAACTTAAAAGTGCTGTTATTTGACGCCACGTATTGCTTGATGTCGGCCCAAATCAACTCGATAGGATTCAGTTCACAGTGATAGGGAGGCAGCCTGAGAATCGTTTTATTTTGGTTTTTGGCCATTTCGTCAACAATTTTTAAATCATATTTATACTTATGTCGCTTGACTATATTTATCAGCTCAGCTTTGACCATTGTTTGGTCGAAGTCGATCTTCTTTGAGACAAGCCACTGTTGAATGTCTGCCTTTTTGGTGGCCATTGTTGGAATTTTTTCCAATTTTCTGGAGTGGTACGGGGCATTATCCATCACAATAATTGCGTTATCATCAAGTGTCGGCAAAATTTTTTGAACCAATTTTCAAATGAGTTACCATCCATTTCTTCGTGATAGTCTCCAGTTTTTTTGGATTCAAATGCCCACAATGCTTCAGGAACAAATCCATCTACGCTACCTATGTGGCAAATGATCAGGCGTTTTCCCTTGCCTGAAAGTAATTAGTTATTTTACTTCTCAGCGATCGCACTAAATGACGAAATTAAGCAACTTACTCTTTTTAGGTTAGTGTAGGATAGGGTCTTAGATTAGTTTTTGGGTGAAGGAAATACTCTGAAACTTGGATGAGATAGCAAAACTGAGTTCGGAGCTTCCAAATCATTGATTCGATCAGAAAATGAATTATCTGCATCCAAAAAAGTTCATATACTTCGAAACTTACCTGCAGGATTTTTCAATCCCGTCGAAAGGCCATCTAAAAAAGCCTGCCTTGAGGACCTCACAGATCTGTCTACCCAAACCTTTCCCTTTCACCCATGTTTCGTCTAAATAATAAATTTTTCTTCCTTCAGCGCGGAATTGCCTAATTTTTCTAAGGTATTCTCTCCTCCAGATAACAATTTCCTCCTTTTCTATCAATAAACTATTCCTTCCTCTTTTCAAAAATCGAAAGTCTAGTTCTTTCAACAGCTTATGGAACGTAGACCTTTTAAAATTTGGCAGGTCCTCATCATCATTCACTTGCTTCAATATTTTATTTATTGTAGGTATTTCATTCCTGAAGAAAAAGTGATGTACTTTTCTTCTAATGGTACTTTTGTCAAAGTCATCTATTTTTTCGATGATTTTTTTTCTCGCTGGATATGTTTTTGGCTCAGATAGTGAGTGATTTTGTCTATATTCCTTCAAGGTTTTGTAAACACTTGATCGACCTACTCCAGAAATTTCAGCAACCTTACATACGATATTTTCTATAGCCAATCCACTATTCTCTTGCATCTGGTTCTTGTAGATATTTAGAATAATTTGTTTTTCACCTGCGCTAAGATGAAGCTTTTTAGCCCTTTTTCTGGGTGACGTTAAGCTAATTTCAACCACTTCATCAGCTGTATCTGTGTCAGACATTTTAGACTAATATTAAATTTCCGCAAGAAAAATCAAGTCAAGACGTGCATAAAACGTTCGCGCTCATAAACGGGTATCCGTAACTGATTACAATCCTGTGCGTGGTGACGAACCATCAACGTGACGCTGAGAGTTCCCTCTACTATGCAGCGTTGCCAGGCTTAATGTCACAATGATCATGTTTTATTGGGAAAATTGTCAGAAATCGCCGAATGTTGAACAGAAACATTACAAGAAGTCTAACCTTGAAATGTGAGGCTACAAATCGATATTCTTATAGGGGGGAAGGGTAGGGAGCTGTTATGGTTCCTATCAACATTGGTGAAAGTTGGAAACGGTAATATCATATATGGCATACATTCGGTTGAAGGTGTGTGCACGGAAAATAGATTGCGGATAGGATTTTAATAGATAAATCTGCACAAAAAAACACAAAAGGAGATTTTTGTATTTCCCTGAAGAATATCTCAAGGTTATTTCAGATGTACTCATCGAAACTTTATGGAAGGATTATCGAAACCTTATTTTCAATTGCGATAGGGCCACATACCTCGACATCGCATTAATGTGAAAAATAAGACAATAGAAAAAAATTCCCTCACTCATGCTATCTCTTAGGAAAAATTTAACTATAAAGATTGCACAAAAATTTTCTTCACCTTTTTGAGCTTGTTTTCGCATCTCCGTATATGCCGTTCATAATTTGCTGCAGATCAAATTGGAATATACCTTTGTGATGCCATTTATTGTTATATAATGTCCTTTACAACAGTTATTGCACGTATTGCACCAACAGATTGATTTGTGATCCATGCGAATGTGATCAACCACTCTGGCGAAAACTCGCCGAGCGTGGCAACCGTGCGACTTTGTCTGGAGGCTCGTCGCTACAAGCCAATCAGGAAGAGGCCGACAGAGCGCCATGGCTACCGATCACGCGTTGATCACGAATCAACCACTGTTTACGATTACTTTGTAGCTTCATTAGAAACACTTTAGTCCATAGATATCCCTTCAGTACTCTACCCGTAGTATAGTCTATCTGGCAATGTCGCGTCTTGCCGATGTCTGACCGCAAGACGCGGCAGAACGGTACAGGAGTAAGACACTTACCAAGGCTGGCACGCCCGTCGATGAACCCAGAACGTAGAAGATGGGACGCGAATCGAAAGCACCTCTCTATTAGGTACATGGAAATCTATGATATGTTAAATACATCTAATAGGTAGAAATACCGAGGTTGGGAGCGTAGCAATATCCTAACATCAAGAAATTGCGATACCTCCGCTCCCGTACAACCCCCTCTCTCCCAATTTTATACTCCTATTTTTTTTAATTGATTAGAACTCTCAGAAATGTAAAAAATTAAATTTTAGCAATGTTTATTTTTTCTTTTGGATTTTTTTTCCACCGCTTTGTTTTCAAAAACTACGAAGCTTTTCCTGCCTTAGCATAGTAGTAATGTATAAAAATTCCATCAAATCAAAGCATTACTTTCAAAGTTATAGACGAGCCAAGGATTATCTGACAGACAGATAGATCGACAGATAGACCTACATACCGACGGAAATAAGTGACATGGTTTGTTGTGATGTGCATGTCATATAACATCCAAAAAACTTAATATCTCATTTTCGTCGTTTCAGGATACTGTAGCTTTTTTCTGGGTTTTTTTGGGTGTGGATTAAAACACTGGATTCCACAAAAAGTACTAATTTATTTAACTTGATATGTACACCACTATTTATGTCTGACTAATTTTTATGTCGCCATGGCCTGCACTATACTCCACTCCGCTCTGCTACACTACCGTATTCAGTACTCTGTTTCCATCCCCCGGCCGCCGAGTCATATACAGGGTGTTCCTTAATGATAGGCGAATATTTAAGGGTGTGAATCTACATGAAAAATTAATGTTAGTTTGCTTTATAAACTGTGGTCCAAAAATGTTTCCTTACAAAAACTCGGGGTGTTGAAGTTTTAGGGAAAAAATGGAAATTAATATTTTCAGAAGCGCTTCAGATATTTCACTGATATTTGGTACGTAGTGAAAGTTAATAAAGTTGCATATTTTTCAATGTAAAAATAATTTTGACCTGTAACAGTGGCGTGCGTACGGGTATTGACTTAGATATTTTTTAAGAAAAAAATAGTACGCCAATGGTTTTTTGCCAAATAAAAACTATTTTTTAATTTAAAAAAAATGATCTCTCTTGAATTGTTTTCTTTCGATACGCCATTTTTGAGTAAAAAAATATAAACCGTTATGCATTGTCAGCGAAAATTTATGTAATGATTGAAGAATGCAATTTAGCAATAAATATCTAGTTGCTCTGGAATATGTCACTGGCTTTTGACATCTGACAAGTCTCTGTTATTCAAATCTGTTCGCTGTGACATTTTTTTTACGAAGAACTCATTTCTGTCAGCCTCTGTCGTCCTGCATCTGTTGTGTACTACTATGCCAAGGACGAAAAATCTTTTGGGGCTCTTAAAATCTGTTCAGTTTTCATCGAAAAACTTCAGAACGTCCCCAATGACCTTCGTCTTTTTCTGTGACTTGAGGGCAAAATTTTGAGAGGAACATTTGTTTAAGAAACACGAAATCCTTGTTTCGATTTTTGATCGCTTTATAACATAGTAAAAAATTGTCACGAATTTTTGGAAATGAAGTAATCAATTTCCAAAGGCGCTTAGTTTTATATCAATGAGAAATACTGGGTCAATTCACTTGATTCCATTTTTCCATCACGCCTACTGGCGAGAAAGTGAGTTCTATACTCGAGAAAAATTGGAAAATGGGATATTATGTTTCTTTGATGTTGTATAACATGTACATCACAAAAAACCATGACACCCATTGCCGTCGGTCTCTTTGTCGGTCTGCCAATTCTCCATTGCCCCTCTATAACTTGGAAAATACTGCTCGGATTTGGATGAACTTTTTACTCAAGTTACTACTATGCCAAGGACGAAAACGCTCTGTAGATTTTCAAAATCGGTTCAGTGGCGGCAAAGAAAAATGCCAAGCACGAAAAAGATAAAAGTTGCTTCGTTTTTTGACTTCTCAAAGCGTCCTTTTAATCTTTTATTGGTAAAAAAATGTTGACGGAGCGTGGTACAGGGTTAGAGGTGAGTATATCATATATTTTTTATGTCAGTATACGAGTATTAATACACTTCCAACACCCATAATCCTAAGCATCTATCAGACATATTTCACACATCATAGATTTTCTCATACATTTGCCCTTAAAACTATTTTTGGCAGGCGGAACGCATACCTATCGGTCGCATTTGCAGGGCACCACGGGGTTGTAAATATTGCATCTTTGGTCGTGGATCCGAGGAGCTTATCAAAATAGGTTGCATACGGCACGGTGACGCGATATCCACATGCGATCTAGTATATACGAGTATACGATTATATTATGCTTGCAACGTAATTTAATGAGGTTACTTGATTTCGTGAGGTAATATTATACACCTTAGGAAAAACCATTGTTATACATGGGAAATCATTTCTTGGCAACAGCGCATCGGCTCGTCTACTTTCATCGCTATTCGTACATATTTCCTACCGTTAACCGCAGACCTGTATCACGAATGAGAATAATAGGCAGATACGCTGTGTTGCCAATTTGAGTAGAGCTTCCCGAATTGTGGGGAATTTAGAGTTAAGTGTTGATTCATTCAAGCTTTTAATCAGCATGGCCTAGACGTTAGAACTTCATAAAGACAACATTGAAGCTGAATGCTGCTGGAGTATAGTGTTTCGAATATTCAAAGCGGAGCGGGACACTATACTCGTTCAATGGGTTATCAAGCCACAGTCTTTTCAACAAATTATTTTACGAAAATGCGTTATATTTTTACGATTTTGTCGTCACCAAATCTCTGTTTCTCAAAATGTACGTCTACTGTAGAATTTTCAGCAAACTAAGCAAGAAACGTGATCTAGTATTTACTCAACATTACGGATTTCTCGAAATACATTAAAAAATGTGACCTAGATACCTAACTGCCCCAAGTTCTTTAAATATAACACCTTAAACCAGGGTTACCAGGTGCTCAGTCACGTTGATTGTCATGTTGTACTGCGCAAGTCAGCAAACAATCTGGCGTAATAAACGTTAGGAATCATCAGTTATTGCCAGATTCCCGAATACCGGACACCATAGTAACCGTTATAGTTGTCCTTCAAAGTTGTCAAATCGCCCCTATGGCGCAAATTCACCACACCAGGCAACTGTGCTATACACAAACCCTGTTTATCACTACTATTTGATAGTCATATGGTAGTTGTAGCCCTATCTAGCGGTCCATGATTTCTCTCAATACTGTTGTATCTCTACTGGCAACAAGAATAGGGATTAAAAAATCATTTATACAACAATATACAAACATGAAAAATATGATTTGAACCATGAAACATTAATACAATTTTAATAGTTTGAACTTTTTTCATTTTTGGAATACTCTTATGTGGAATCCGCAGCTATTTTTCCCGAAATTTGGGTAGACTTAGATTTCTTAGAAATATGACACATTGGTATCGGCAACTCTGCGAATGTGCGAATGGCAGAAACAAATCGCATTTGTTGAGCGCATCCGTCTAAGCGGTAGGCGGCAGCGCCCGTTCTGCCATCTCTCTCTTTTATCACTCTTCTACTTTACCCCGTTGTCCGTCACACTCCGACGCTGCCAGATATGATCCTACAATCGAGTGTCTTTCACGCACCTACATACTTTTGTATATTTCCATCTCTCTTTCTCATCATAATGTATAATAATGGTTTTTCCCAAGGTGTATAAGAGAGTACATAATTATAGTTTATAAGTACGTACCAAGAGCCATTAAAATCAGTTATCAAAAATTGTAGACAAACAGTTTTACACCAGAGGCCCAAAGAAATGAGGTTACCGTGTTCGGACTGATTGCTGCAATCTGAGGATTTTTTTTCAGACAAAACCTATGACTTTTTGATGCTTTTGCACTACGTGAAAAATCGGCGGTCATAAGCAGCCAGGCTGATATAATTCAGGGCCTCTCTGGGAATCGAGTTTGACCTCGAAATTTGCATATTTAGCATGGTTCTGTGTACAAATTTGATGATTTTTGATCATTTGTCCTTCCCCCCCCCCCCCCTGAGAAAACTTGCTACCCTTGGTATTTTAAAAAGTTTTTGAAGGCAGGTGCACTTTAACAAAAAGAAAATTACGGCGGGTTCCGAAACAGCATTTAGAGTGATAATAAAAATTGTATAGGAAAAATAAGGTCAAATGCAGCGTAGAAGAAAAAAATTCGACACCAAATTCAGACTAAAAAAATATTCCAGGGAAAACGTTCTTCTAGTCGACCCGGCTACCTCAACAAATAGCGACAAGAGAGAAACGGCAATGGTTCTGGGTCACGAGATTGCTCACCAGTGGTTTGGAAATCTCGTCTCACCAAAATGGTGGAACGACCTTTGGTTGAAAGAGGGATTTGCCACATACTTGGAATACTTCGGGGTTAACTCTGTGAGTATAATTTGATTTGACCATTGTAATTAAATGTTTCACTGAAAAGATTAGTTACATTTTTAGATCTTTGATAACCTTGGTTATACTAAAAACTATGAGATTTTTTTAGAAATTTTGAAAACAGTTATTTTGGAAAAATCTTTAAAATCCTGAAACTTTTGATTTGAGGCACTATGAAAAATTTGAATGTAGTTTGAAAAACTATGAAAATATTGATGAGCCCCCTTTATAGGCCAACCCAGATTGGAAGATTGTGGAAGAATTTCTACTTTCTGAGACACAACGTGCGATGGGTGTAGATGCTTTGGAATCAGCAAGAGCTATTTCCTTCGAAGTAAAAAATAGCAAGCAGATCAGGCAATCTTTTGACGATATTTCCTATGCTAAGGGTGAGTTGAAAATGCATTAGTAGCATTGACTATCAATGTCTATCCTTGAGTAAGAAGAAACACTCTTCTTCTAGGCGTGTTATTGCTAAATCTGATTGACATTCTCCACTTCAGTACATCTTTCATAACCACATAAAACACAAAACTATTGATGTTTTTACTTCCCGCGCCTGTTGACGTTAACAGTTTCTTATTGATTTGTAGGAGCATGTATCATAAGAATGATGAACAACTTCCTCGGAGAAGCAGTATTCAAAAAGGGACTGATAAACTTCCTTCACAAATATCAATATGGCGTTGCAGACAGAGAAGAGCTTTTCTCGTCTTTAACAGAGGAAGCGCAAAAAGATGGTGTACTACCGCCAAATGTCACTGTGGGCGAAATAATGGCAACATGGACTGACAGACCAGGTTTTCCTGTCGTACATAGCATTGCAGATTATGTCAGCAACAGGTTGCTTATCTCTCAGGTAGGTATTACTATGATGATATTAATTGAGTATCTTCAGACATTGATTAACGTATTCCACCCAAAGATAGCCAGGAGAGGCCAAAAACGGATTGAAGATCCTAGCGCCATCTGTGAAACAGTAGCAGAACAAAACACGAACTCTTTTTGTGTTCTCATAAATGATGCTAATATTTCAAATCCCTTTTTGGACGCCGCAATACAGTATACGTTGATTAATGGTAGCACTGCATATGCTACGCTTCTAATCTGATTTTTATTTACAGAAACGCTTCTTCTTGAGTGGCAAACAAGAAAAATCATCCTGGTGGATCCCCATATCATTCACAACCAAGAAGCTGTTGGACGAAACTGCAGATTTCTCCGAAACAAAACCGAAATTCTGGATGCGCGGCGAATCCCAAATCGAAGAAGAGGCAGACTTGAGGAATATCAGCTGGTACTTACTCAACGTCAACCACACAGGTATACTTCATCGTCAACTATGACGAAAAGAACTGGCGAGCGCTATCTGATAACATCATGAATCTACCTCCATTGACTAGAGCTCAGCTGATCAGTGATTCAATGGACTTGGCCAGAGCTAGTTTGATCAGCTACGATATTCCTTTAAGGATGATAGCACGGATGGCTACGCAGGATAAAATGATTATGATCATACCCACGTTAGCGACATTCGAGAAACTTAAGTTTTTGAATAACATTTTGTACACCACGCCGGCATTTGGATTGTTTGAGGTGAGTGCTTCAGATAAGATTAATGATTTCCAAATTGAATAATACACATTTTGAGAAAAATAGTTTTATTGGTAAATGAAGCACTAGATGTGCGGCAAGGGTAATACGTATCTTGAAAAGTAACGTTATGTCGGTTTTTTTGATATTATATAGGTTTTTGTGACCTTATGTAGGTTTTTCTACAACATGTCAACTCAGCACTAGCTGTTATGCACTTGTTGTGTACTCGTTCCGCAGCTGTACGTGTTGCCTAAACGTGGTGCTTCCGCTATCAATGTTTGGCTCTGATGTAATGTAAACGGTAGTGCACAGGTGCATAGTGAGGATTTGTGTGCTAATACACTGGACAACAAATTTTAGTTTTTTAATTGTATCTTGTTGGAAAAGTGCGCTTCTTTGTTAATTTTGTGGCGCTGAATCCAAAAATGACAATGAAATAAAAAAATTAGTTGCGGTTTAGAAAAAAAACTTTTTATTTTTAAAGATATATTAAAAGAAGTAACAAGATTCATATACTTATAAGAATCACTATATGCGCTGTCTTTTTGCTGTTCTTTTATGGATCGTTTCTGGAGCATCTCTACCAAGAGTCCAACAGTAGTCTGCAAGCATGGAAGGATTCCACTATCCCTGGTACCTTTTTTCCATTGTTGAAATATCCTGATGAAAACGTTCGCCGTGCTCATCACTTACGGCTCCGCAATTGTCAGGAAAAAAGTCCAGGTGTGAGTGTAGGAAATGTATCTTAAGAGACATATTACAGCCCATCTTTCGATACGATGACAGCATATTTTTGACAAGGGTTTTATAGTTGTCAGCTTTTCTATTTCCCAAGAAATTAGTGACCACCAGACGGAAATCATTCCAAGCAGTTTTTTCAATACCTGTTAAAGTGTTTTCAAACTGTGTATCTTTCAAAATATTTCGAATCTGTGGCCCAACAAAAATACCTTCTTTAACCTTTGCCTCACTTAGTCTTGGAAATTTCTGACGCAGGTATTGAAAAGCTGACCCATCTCTATCTAATGCCTTGACAAAGTTTTTCATTAGGCCCAACTTGATATGCAGTGGTGGTAATAAATTTTTTTTCGAATCTACTAATTTCATATGCTGTACATTTTTTTGACCTGGCTCTAGGAATTGACGAACAGGCCAGTTTTGTCTGATGTTATGAAGTGCCTTTGCCCGACTGTCCCATTCACACAAAAAACAGCAAAACTTTGTGTAGCCTAGCTGCAGCCCAAGTAAAAGTGCAACAACTTTCAAATCGCCACAAATATGCCATTGGTGCTCATCGTATTTTATGCATGTCAATAGGTACTTCATATTGTCATATGATTCTCTCATGTGAACTGCATACCCTACAGGAAGAGATGGTAAAATATTTCCAATATGCAATAACACTGCCTTTAAACTCAATGTTGAACTGTCTATAAACAATCTCCATTCTTCTGGGTTATAGTTTATATTTAAAGCCGCCAGTAAGCCGTTAATGTTACTGCAGAAAACCAAGTTATTCTCCATATTGAAAAATGGTTCTAACTCTTTGTGGCGTTTACGAAAAACACATACCGAAACATCTAACAAGTTCCACTGCTGCAGTCTTGATCCAAGTAACTCTGCCTTACATTTTGGAAGTTCTAAATCTCTTACAAGATCATTTAATTCTGACTGTGTTATTTCGTGCGGTTGGTGGCATGACGTGCTCGGTATAAAATCAGGATCTCTTGACGTTGATGGTATATTTTCTTCCTGACGAATCACTCGATCGCCATGATCTGATTCGTTTTCTGATTCGCAAGTGTAGGATTCCGAGTGTTTTGGAATAGGATTTTCGTCACTGTGAGGGACAGGTCTCATCTCAGATGGTATGTTTGGGTAGTTAATAACCGATTTTTTTTTCTTGGACATACCTGTGGCTTGTCCAACACAAGGTACCATGCAAAAGTAACAATCATTAATATGATTTGTAGGCTCTCTCCAAACCATTGGGACAGCAAAGCGCATAGACCGTTTTTTGCCATTTAACCAGCTCCTCAGACTTGAAGCACATGTATTACAGCAGATGTGGGGTGCCCACTGTTTGTCTTGATCACCTAGTTTACAACCGAAATAAAGCTGATATGCCTTTGTTATTAGTGGAGTAATAGACCGTCTCTGAGACGCAAAAGTCACATCACCACACACGTAACAAAATTGATCTGGATTGTTTACACACTTTCTAGACATCTTGCATGAACGCTGTCAGCCAACTGAGGAAAAAATGGCTAATATAAAACAATATAATTAATGTACACGTATGTATAACGTAACACAATCATGCCGATTACATCATCTTTCCTTGCCGAATATAAAAATGTAGCATGTGCATTCTTGTGAATTACAGTATATTAACACTGTCACAGCAGGAACACATATAATTACCGTATCTCTAAAACTTGAACTAATATTGAAAAAACAAGTTTCATTCCGGTTTTAGCACATTAAAAATAGTAATATTTTGTTAATTTTATTTAGGATATTTTTTGGCTGTTGATCAGTGATATGTGTTGATGATGAATCTATTGGTTTCCTGTCTCAAAAACACTTACTTGAGGTGTTTGCAAAGCTAAAAATTAGTTGCGCATGCGCTTTTTCTTATTCAACCTGGATATTACATGTGCAAATTTGCTGAATTTCAAAAAAGAGAGCGATAAGGAAAGAAAATCCCTGGTTGATGATGTAAACTAAAACTAATAGGTGACAAAATATCCTACATACCTACATACAGGAATATTTATGAAACATAAAAAACTTATTACATTTCACAATTTTTTTCCAGTAATTTAAATTTTTTTAGATTTGAGGCAGTGCAAAAATGTTTTATATGTGATGGGTTATTCCTAATTTTTCTGTGATGTGGTTTAATTACACACAACGTGAGTGTGGTGCTGATTTCCCGTAATTTTCCTTAAAGTTCTTGAAAATGTAACGAAATCGTAATGTATAACTTTGTACATAACTTCTCTTCAAAGGGACAACACAAATAACCCCTTTGGCACAGCTAAATGATATATTTCATGGGCAGCATATTCATTCAAAATGTTCTCACATAGCAAAATATCACTGATTTTATACAAATGCAGACCAATACTCACAATCATCTAGATGTGATCTTGCTATTTCTGCTACTCGACCACACATCATCTCAGAATGTATTGTACAGAATATCTGGGCATTCTGCAACCAACACAGCATGACTTGCAGCTTGCAGCATGGTCATTGAGCGTATCGTTGTGTCATTTCTCCGCCCATAGCGGGCTAACGCGGAATGTACTATTTGCACACTAAGATCTAGACAGCAAGTTGACATTTTGTCGTTTTCTTGACGTTTGTTAGGTTTATTTCGTAATAGCCCGGCGATCTTATTTTTAAAGATTACGCCATATGCAGGTGTAGATTTGTTCATCGCATTTTGCATAACGCGAATATATGGCTGGCTTGCGCATCCCACATTTTGGAGGGGGAAGAGTCTAGGAGAAGAATAACAATCATCTCCGGAAGCCAGACTGCAATGAAGGCTCTAAGTGCAAGAAATATTACTTCGAGCCTTATACTGCATTGCATATATTTTCCTAAAATATATAGCATTTGTTTACTTCAAGTTAGAAAAAAATATTAATATCCTTTTGTCTTTCAGGAGTTCCATAACAAAATATTCAAAAGAACGTATAGTCTAGTGACACAGTTTGAGAACCTGGTAGATGTTTACATAACGAACAGAATTCGCAGTGTCGTTTTAGAATGGTCTTGTCGCAGTTCAATCTCAAAATGCGCACATGAAGCAAGGAGTAGGTTCAGAGAAAGGATGATTCATAATACTGTGTAAGTTGTTTTGTTCTAATTTTCCCAAAAAAACTCTATCTTTATGATATATATCAACCGTCTCTGATTCAGTGGTGTAACGTGACATATGGGGTGAATGGTAGACAGTAAGAAGCCATATTGTTCGATGCCTCATTTTTCTTCATTGTTAAGCTTTAATATATACTAAGTGACATATAAATCCGAACACCCAGTTTAAATGGTTTTATTTTAATAAAATTTTGTATAAGTACTTAATGAAGCATAATAAGTAAATGATAAAAATTTCAAAATGATTGCACTGCTTTAAAGCCCTTTGACCTTTAATAATGTGTGGATGCACCCTGATGTGCTACGCATTCTCCAACGCGCCTAGGCATGCTTCTGATCAGGTGGTCAATGTCCTCCTGTGGTATCTCATTCCAGGCAACCACCAACTCCTCTCGAAGTACTTCTAGAGTCTGAGGAGGACGTTGCAAACTGCGCAATCTCCTACCCATCATATCCCACACGTGCTCAATTGGGGATAAGTCGGGAGATCTTGGTGGCCATGGTAACAATATGACATCATTATGTTGAAAGAAGTCTATTGTGACTCTTGCAACATGTGGTCGGGCATTATCTTGTTGGAAAGTTGGATCTGCCAGGGTGTCAAGATAGGGTAAAAGATGGGGTTCTAGAACTTCGTGGATATAACGCTGCGCGTTCATGTTACCTCTGATGAAGACTAAAGGTGACCTGGAACCATAAGCTATAGCACCCCAAACCATAACTCCAACAGTGTGATGAACATGTCTTTCAACAAAAAACTGTGGATTCCTCCTTTCACCACGTCGCCTTCTAACCCTGGCACGACCATCGTGCATGCCTAAACAAAATCGAGACTCGTCACTAAAGACAATACTGTTCCATTCCTGATCCCAGAGTGACCGTTGTCTGCACCACTCAAGGCGATTACGTCGGTGTTCTCGAGTTAAAGGGAGGACCCAGTGTGGCCGGTATGAAAACAAGCCAAAACTTCTCATTCGTCGGTAAACACTTCGCATGCCAATAGGTCTTCCGTGTTCTGCAAACCATTCATTTGCAATGGACCTGGTAGTGGAGAAACGGTCCCTTAAGGCCAATAATCTTAGGCGGCGATCTTCACGGTCTGTTGTTCTACGGCGGCGTCCAGTGCCCCTTGCTCTTTGCGTACGGCCTTCTCAAAGCTAAGCCTGACAACACCTAACCACAGTGTCTACACTTCTTTGCACTCTAACTGCAATTGCCCGAAAAGAAAGTCCAGCTTCCCGAAGTCCCACTATACGGCCCCTATCAAACTCACTAAGTTGACGAGATCGTACAGGTCTCCGTACTCTAGGCATCGTAACCGATCGTAAAGGATGTCAAGAACCAAAATCCGCCAACGTTGATTCTTTACTGCGGCTGAAATATTAATTTTTAGAGCGTTAGTGAATTAAAAAAAAGCAGTATAAAAACCGGAATGTCCAACTGATAAGGCTGAACATTTTTTCACTTGTTATTTACAGTAAGATAAATACATTCACAAACTTTAATTAAAATAAAACCATTTAAACTGGGTGTTCGGTTTATATGTCACTTAGTATAAATTTGCATTGGTAGTCCTCATAAGCATAGAAAATGAGCAGCAATTACCTTAATTAAAGTTTCCTGTTTTTACAATATATGATTATGATTCCAGCATAAATCCAGAAGTTCGATCCATAGTTTACTGCACAGCCATCAGGGAAGGCGGTGACATTGAGTGGAAATGGGCATATAGAAGGTTCTTGGATACTCCCTCAATCTCTGAGAAGAACATTATCCTAGGGTGCTTTGGGTTGCACCAAGCAGAAATGGTTACTCTCCAGGTAACTGCTCACATTTTTAGTTTAACATGGTTTGGTTTTCTGTAGATCTAAAGCTTTTCTTATCTCGAATTTAATGCTATTGTGGTTTCTCAAGAGAAAATACAAAGTGTTCTTACAGTTGGAAGATATATTTTCACAAACTGCTATTGAAGTAACAAAGTTCATGTGCGCTGACAGAGCACCGAAGAAATGAAAAAAATATTAAAACGTATAACTGTTTATTTGATAAGAGGTCTCAAGTATCGCCCTGTCACATGTGCTCATACCTGCAAATACTGCCGTTCTCGACGTTCCTACATCTGGCCTTTGTACGAGATAAACCTATACGGAATGAAAAATATCCAGGAGAAACGATCTAAATATACTCGCGAAGCACGCAGCATCTTGAATACACCGTAATTAATACCAATTCGAGTTCGTGATATTATAAGTATGTGCCATTATCGGTTTTTAGAATCTAATTTATAAACAAGTAGCTATGTTTTCACCTAATCCTTTGATATAGGCGGTGCCCGATTCCATATCGTAGATCATCACGGATCCAAACAAGTCTGTTATCTTAGGTGTTACAGATACTGTGTTACTAAGAAAAATTGCTCCGCACTTCAACGTTTTCCTAAGTAAACACTTTTCGTAAACCACTTAACGATTAAACGGCAAAATGATTAATCGGTTAACAATGTTTAGAACAATTAACCGTTTAAATGTTTCACCTCCAGATGGCGTTTCTTCCTTTCTAGCTCTACAATATTTCTACGTGATCAGAATGTCACAATGACAAACCGACCGACAGACAGACTTTGTTACAGTCTTGCGACAACGGAATATGTTGACGGGAGCACATTTTTTGAAAAATGTTTCAGAGAAAAAGTTGTAGGGTGAAAAAATGACTATCTGACATGCCACCTTTTGGCAGCAGTTGAGATTTTGACCTTTGAATAAACCTTTTATTGAAAAACCGTTTATTGAATGGTTTTTAAACACTTCAACAGAAAACGCTTAATCGAAAGAAAAAAACGGTAAAGATGCCAAAAATTGCTTATGATATCTAAGGAAAATTATAACTTTAAGATCACCATGTAGTTTGTAGATATGTTGATTTTAACTACTTCCCCTGTCGGTTTTATTCTGATATATCCTCGTTAAGTCACAATATTAACAGTCAGTTCCTACCTGTCTGCAATCTTGTGTGATAATAGTTGCTCTAATCTCTACTAACCTACCTAATGTGTAAAAGTTTAATATAGATGCATTTTGCAGATACTTGGACTCTTTGATTGCTGGGTCCAGTATCCGCGTTCAAGATGCTGAAAAGGTATTCACTGCAGTGGCGTCGAATCCTGACGGGATGCAGATTGCCTTCGACTTTTTGAGGAAGAATTGGGACGCTCTACTGTATAGGTAATAACTTTCATACTCGAGAATAGTGGTTAGAAGAATGATATGGAACTTTTTTCAGATATGGAGATGGATTCAGCATTATTGCAAAGATGATCAGAGCTGTGGGAACGCACATGAGTACAGAGTTCCATTTGACTGAGGTAAGATTTCATGTTTCACGTTAAATAATGACCTTGAGGTTTGGGTTGCTACACACGCCATGGCGTATTCCAGATAAAAATGTTGATATTTTGGAGGTTGGAGATATGTTGACCAGATTATTTGTCCTTTCTTCCTATTGTCAGTCTTCCCCTCGACCAGTGGTAAACCACTCAGTTTCGTTCATATTATCCCTCATCAATGCGATATTGTACATATACAGGCTAATCCAAGCCCTGGTTGCTCGGTGGTGACATTTAGCATGATCTTGAAGGTCAACACCATTTTTCTAAGTGAGGCTTTATACTTCTGACGTCAGAAACGGATAAAGCGGGAAATTTTGCGTTCAGATATGAGCTTTGGTGAAAACTAGTTTGACCTTGAACATGCTGGTGTCAAGGTCATCATGAAACAACCCTCATTTGATAACATTGTCAGGAATGTTTCTGACAAAATCCATAAATAAAAACCTAAATTCAGCAGATGTTTGAACTTTCTCTTGACTATTCACTGGTGACCTTGAAACTGACCATGACCTTCAAGGTCAAATTTTTTGCTGCCAACCTGTACTTGTATTGCGGAAATAGAGTAGAAAGTTTTGCGTTCAGAAATGATTTTTGGTGAACATCGTTTTGACCTTGAATGACCTGGTCAAGGTCACTATAAAAAATCCTCGTTTGAAAAGAATACAGACATAAGTAAAAATATAGCAAAAATAAGAACCTAAAGGCAGCAGAGATTTACGAGTTTTCTCTGGCTTATCATTTGTGCTCTTGAAACTGACCTTTACCATGACCTTGAAGGTCAAATCATTGTTTAAAGTTCTCTTTCCGAAGTCAAAAGTATAGGGCCCGTTTAAAGAAATCGCCTTGATCTTCATTTGACCTTCAAGGTCACATTTCAGGCCACCCCTATTTTTATTTTACCAGACCCTATGAGCATTCCCAAATATCTAGTATTCCAGGACTTCTGGATCACCCAATATGTAGTTGTTGTTGTAAAGTTGGTGTATTTATGATTGCAGTTCCAGAGATTCAGAGACAGCATAAGACAGAACATCAGTACCACAGCCAGCGCATTTGATTTGGCCATAGAACAAGTCAAGGCTAACGTCAATTGGATGGAGAGAAATTATGAAGAAGTTGAGAGTTGGCTCCAGCAGCACAGAGATTACTTTGACTTTGTATAGAGATATCAATATTATTAGATTAAGTTCATTGTTACAAGCTTTAATACTTTTTTATTGTTAGCCGACTTCATTTGGGTATGATTGCCGAAAAGTATTGTTTAATCATTTCTACTCATTAAATGGTGTCTCAATAAGAGCGCCGAATTTTATTTTCAAGAAAAACACATAGCCCCAGAGGAAGAAGTCTATTGGCGTTAGATCGCACGATCTTGGTGGCCAAACCGAGAGATGACACGGTCTGAAACCTTGGTCCGCATAAACACTATTGTTTCGCGTGCTGTGTGGCAGGTCGCACCGTCATGTTGGAAGAATATAATATCCTCCACGTCAATTCGATCCAACTGGGGCCACAAAAACTCGTTTAACATTCCGCGATACCGCACACCACTAACAGCTATCACTCCGCCACTCTACAATGCGCACCAAACAGTAACTCGCGGCGGATGCATTGGTTGTTCAATCATTGCACGAGGGTTTCCAGAACCCCAAATTCGGCAGTTCTGCCTATTGACGTACTGCGTTCAGTTGAAAATGTGCCTCATCAGAGAAAATGATTTTCTTCGAGAAATCCGCATCAATTTGGTGATGCTCCAGCGCCCAATCAAGGAATTCACGGCGCTGCGCATGGTCCGTTGGATTGAGTTCTTGAGTCAGTTGAACCTTGTACGCATGTAGCACAGATCTTCTGTCAAAATTCGTTGCAGAGTGGTTTTGGTATGATTCAATTCTTGGCCACGACGCCGAATGGAAGTGCCTGGATTTTCGGCCACACTTTCCCGCACTGCGACTATATTTTCGAGGGACCGACCAGGACGGCGACGAACAGTGGTCTTCACATTCAGCAACGTGAATTTTGTTTCAAATTTTGCTATTAAACGGCGAACTGTCGACTCATTTGTCGCATTATTGTGACCGAAAATTGTACGTAATTTGCGAACTCTTTCCGCGTGATTTTCTCCATTTTTGTAGTGAGTTTTCACAATGATTAAACATTGCAAGTTTGAATACAGCTCCATGACGTCTAATCGCGTGGTCTGGACATGAGAGCTATCATCAAGACCACCATTTCTACAAGAAAAAATGGTGGCAAATTCAAATCCGGCGCTCTTGTTGAGACACCCTTTATAATTATACATTTTCATTGTGCTTAGGTAAAAATATTTTTTTATTAGAGATGAATCTGGGATAGTAAGTCATGAATAAAGAACTTGCGCAGCTCATTTCACAAGACTATATCCGTTAATCCACCCGACGACATGGATTAAACAATACAGTCTGGTAAAATTAGCAAGTTTACTAGGGAAACACCAACTATGTTTAGTTGAAATATTGTATTTTGCACTATTAAAAATACGTGTTTCGCAAAAAAATGCAAATTCTACGTGACTACCCATGGCTACGCACCTTACTTTGGGTCAAGTAACATCACTGCTTTTCACTTCATCGTTGTATGTTTTAATTTTATTTATTTTCCATTTACTTGTTATTGTCCAAATGTAAATTACATTTTAGTGAATAGAAATACCAAGCCTTTATACAGATTAATAGTGGTACATTAATGTTTGTACTAGTTTATGAAACTGCCCAAGGGAAGTTGTCATTTTTGCTAACGATTCAGTATTTTTCTATCTAAGCTACTTTATAGTAGGAAAGAATCAAGTCAATACCAAATTCATATAGACAGATTTTTATATAAATTTTGTATGTCAAATGTACCACTATGATGAAGAAGAGGCAAAGATTTAGTGTAGAGCTTCACAGCTATCGCTTTAGGAGGATTTTAAGTGAACGACTTGCTGATTAGTTTCATAAGAACACGCACATAGAAAATATAACAACTTTATTGATAAAAAGTATATATAATATCCTAAATGTGATATAAACATTAATATAGTGTTAGTTCATTACTTATCCTAGTCAGGCAAGAATAACTACATCTAAAAATTATCGTAATAAATATCATAAATTATAAATAGCAAAATACCGAAATTATATACAAATTAAAATGTTACAATAAGATTGTCAAAAAATTGTAAAAATAAAATTTAAATCGGAATAAAGATGTGGATGCGAGAAGCTAGCTTTATTTTACTCTAAGAAAATCAGAAATGTAGAATAATACTTCGGGCAGGTATAAAAACTTTCATGATTCAACACTCCTTTACAGCTAAATCTTAAACAAGTTTCATCCTGTACTATATTTTCCTATGTTATTATTCTATTAAAATGCTCTATCTGTACAAATAGAAATAAAACTAAAAGATGGTCATTTGCACCTAGAAGTACCTATAATGCCATTTCACACCTAATGAGAAATCAAACACATTAAAAGAACATTAAAAATACTGAGGTGATGCTTCAATTCAGATATAGTTGGATTAACAAAAAAACTAAGTTTACTGGTAATTAAAAGGGCCAAAGATGACATATATAAAAATAAAAAAATTAATCACAATAAGTTTAAATGCTAGAGAAAGCATTAACATTTGGAGTAAAACATACATACATGAATTTAAAAATTTTAGGCCACCATATTCGGAATATTTTACGTTAAATGGAACTTTTATGATATACAGTGAAATTCATGTACGCTTTTGGGCGCTGCTTTCAATGTGTACGAGAGAGAAAGAAGCGTGCGACACCTTGCAACAGTGGGGGAGGGCGCGGAGCGCCGCTGTAATTTACCGTATTGCCAAACAATACACCTTTTCCTGCACTATGCTTTTGGTTTGTTTGCTGCGTCCAAATAATGGTTCTATTTTGATGAGTTTGTTTATAATTGATTTAGGATCGGTCTTTACGATTCTCCGATTTTAGGTGGAACAGCAACAGGATCACCAAAAATTCTGCAACATTGTGTTATTGGTTTGAAAACAACGCATCTCGGTATACTCGGTTTCCACCTCGTTAGATTCATGATAGTCCAGTTTTTCTTAGTTTTTTTTAACCAGTTATCTGTTAAACACTGCAACCGAATTACGTAACTTAAAAAATGATATTGTATAGTTTTTATGACATTACTAACTGAACGAACAGACGTTGTCCTGTCTTAGCTATGAATATATAGGTGTAGTTTTTTGACGCTGTGTACGATTTCCGAAAAAATGTCACTAAACTAAACTACATGCATTGTTGGTTGCATATTATGTTATGTGAAGCCGAGTGGTCTGTAGTTTTTATCTCTGAGAAGAAGGTTGGTTGAATAGCAAGATCGCATCTGGATGATTATATGTATTGGTCTGCATGTGTATAAAATCAGTGATGTGTGAGAAAATCATTACTGAATATGCTGCTAATGAGGTATATCTATTAGCTGTGCCCCACGGGTTATTCATACGTTGTCCTTTCTGAAGACAAGTTATGTTCAAAGTTATAAATTACGAAAAACGAAAATTACGGGAAATCATCACCGAGCCCGCGTTGTGTGTAATTACTGTTAGCATGTGTATGACGTATCTCTCTCATTTTTGAAATTCATCAAATTTGCATAAGTAATTTCCAGAATAGATAAGAAAAAGTAGATGTGCAACTAATTTCTTGCCTTGAATCTCAAGTAAGTGTATTTGAGACAAGAATCCAATGGAATTATCATCAACACATACAACTTACAGCTTAGACCTCCAGTAATGCCATCTCTGAAGCAGATTTTACATCACATCATAGCCAAACATTGATAACTGAAGCCTCGTGACGTTTATTCAACACTTACAACTACAAAACGAATTCACAACGTGTCTATCAGCTAGTGCTAAGTTAACATCTTATAGAAAAAATACATAACGTCACAAAAAAACCAATACATTGCCAAAAAAAAATCGGTATAATGTCACTTTTCAAGATACGTAATACAGTGTTCAAATGATGAATTGTTGAAAAAAAAAAACGCTAATGGCACTGAACTATCATAAATATATGCAGGCTGAAATCCTGCATTGGAATGTACCGAGATGCAGTGTTGTCAAACCAATGACGCAATGTTGCAGGATTTGTGGCGATCCTCCAGTTCTACGTAAAAGCAGAGAACCGTTAAGCCCGATCCGGAATCAATTATTCTAAGCCGATTCGACATGTGTACGCTCAAAATAAAACCATCGTCCTATTAGAGCAGAACTATGCCATACCAAAAACGGCAATTGCACCCCTACGCAGATAAAACAGTTCTGCGCAACAGGACATAGACTAAATTTTTAATCGGCCGTAATCGGTATTCTCCGACAGCGTAGACATGGGATACTTCTGCAGCGCACGAGACGACCTTCAATAAGCCATACAGAATATAAAAGCAAAATTTTGAAATTTCTGACCTGGAATAGTTCTGCTTATTTCCATCATTCATCATAATTCAAGAAGAATGGTGCAACGTTTGGCGGCCCGGCAAAGTAAAGTCGCGCTCCCAGCCCTCCCCCACAGTCGCATGCTTGTGGGGCTCACTCTTTCTAACATGCGGGAAATATTTTCTTCAATAAAATCGGACACACTGATTTTCAGCAATCTTAGAAGATCGTGTGGAAATATTTACAGTGTTTTCAGGTATGAGAAATGGTTATTACAAAAAAAACTATTTAGGCCAGAGTGTACAACGACGGGGTCCATTATTGAGCGCAGTAGAATTATTCCAAATTCTATTGACGCTCATAAGACAAGAGTGTGAATGTATACATAAGTGGCAAATAAAATGCAACTCACAGAATTATTTATTGATTTTTGACAAACACTTGTGTGCTACCGTGGAAGTATACGCTAATGAAATCTTGAAGGCATTCCGTACTTTTTTTTTGTCATATCAGGATCCGAACAATATGAACATGTTTACGGTACTGTTGCGTCTTGTAGAACTTTGGATATCACTGTTTTTCCACTTGAAACTTATAAGAGGGTAGTCTGATAGATTATTTTAAAACAAGAAAAGTGTGGATGAGGCACTCTTTTTACATGAAATTTTTTTCCCAAAACAGTGTATTTTTAGCAGTTTTTCCATCATTAACTCCATCGCCATTTGCCATATGACGTTGACGTCTGTGGCGCTTGCCTGTTACAAACAACAGTGGCAAAATAAAAAGCGATTCTTAATAATTGAAAAACAATTGTAAATAATTATGAAAATAGTAAAACAAGAAACAACTCCATGTAATTAAAAAAAAAACAAAAAACAACACAGGAAAATAAAAAGCAATTCTAAGTGATAACGAAAAAACAGTAAATTAAAAAACAAATCCAAAAACTAAAATGAACAGAAAGTATTCAATATTATTATTACTTGCTTTACGGCAATTTGTCGCAATATATTTTTGAATCGGTCTCTGGGTCTAGGACCATAGAGCCTCCAGCAAATCAACTGGTCAATATATTCGGGTAAATGAGGCGACTGTATGACACCCCGTCACCGGATCCACAAAATTGGCGGGAAGTATAAAAGCCACATTTCCAAAACGAGTGAATCACCATAAATATTGTACATAGTGTTTTCTTGCAATTAGATACTTTCAAAGTTCTAATTGTTTTTACTCGTTGAATAATGACAAGTATTGAAATCTCCTGCAAGTCCAATTATATCGCTGAATGAATTTTTTGTGAACCTTTGCTATGCATTCTCATACCGAGCAGATCTTTGAAACGTAAAACCTCCAGTACTCTGTGTTCGATAGTCTAAGTCTAAGCAAAGATAGATGTATATTTGCCGACTGATTGACTCACGGTGTTTGAATCTATAAAATACCAGTATCGCATTAATTACTTGCAAATTCCTTCAAAGTACCCATTGCTTGCTACAATCGCTTGGGGAACCTAGGAGGGGTTTCCCCTACATCCATAAAACAGTGAACCACACACTGAATTTGTGGATCCGGTGACAGCTTGTGCGCTAATGAAATTGAAGGGCACTGATCTAGATTAAAGCTACTTTTGAGGCGGCTGGGTGTCATGCAGTCGCCTCATTTACCCGAATATATTGACCAGTCCATTTGGTGAAGGCTCTATGGTCATGGACCCGGAGGCCGATCCAAAAATATATTGCGACAAATTGCCGCAAAGTATACCTTTTAGTATTGAACACTTTCTATTGATTTAAGTTTTTAGATTTGTTTTTAATTTACTGTTTTTACTTTTTTTGTTATCACTTAGAATTGCTTCTTATTTCACCGTTTGTTGTTTTTTATAATCACATGAAATTTTTTTTTTTGTTTTACTACTGTTCTTATTTTTTGTTAAGACTTAGAATTGCTTTTTATTTTACTGTGTTTTTTGTTTTTTATAATTACATGTTTCTTGTTTTACTGTTTTTATAATTATTTACAATTGTTTCTTAGTTTAATACTGTTATATTTTGTTTTATAATTATTAAGAATCGCTTTTTAATTTGCCACTGTTGTTTGTTTCAGTATTTCGTTTTTATGTTTCATTATTTAATATACGTGTATAAATTTTCCAATTTTCCCCTAAATTCGGAGCCCAATCTGGCAACACTGCAGGCAAGCGCCTCTCATATACCATGACACAGTGCCGGATGCTCCGCTGTTCGATTTTTGTCCGCCGGTGCGCATGACGTCACGCGGAGAGTGATTATCATTTGGGCGGATAAGGATAACGTGCATATTTTCACCTACAGACCAAACGGCTGGACGGATTTTCACATACGAAGTGTCGTTGCATTCGTCTTAGCGGTGCGAGTGACACAATCTACATTAAAATGTTATACAAAACAAAATGGCGGATTTAAATAAAAGATTTCAACCTTGTAATTCCTATCTCATAGGCTATAGCTTAAACGGTTGTCTAGCTCCACAATAGGGCGTGTATCGTCACTTCACTGTAAAAACAAGATTTTTCTACATTACCTATATTTTAATATGTTCTGTGGAGCAGGATTAACATGCTCATGACGTTAATACTGCACAACATTTATTCATCCTTATTTCACAGAACATCCTAAGTACTAACTACATGCTAGTGTGAAAATGTACGCGACCCGAAAAGTAGAAAAATGGAGTCATCATCTTTTTGCAGTAAGCTGGCAGTATAACAATAAATGGCAATGACTTAGGGCCCTATTTCACCGGGACACCATGGCGGCGCAACCGGTCGTCGCTACCAACAAGACATATAGAGCTCTATGGAGAGTATCTCACCTGGTGTCCGCTTGGTTGCGCAACCAGTTTGGCGGAGCGACCAACACTACGTGTGCTCGAAAGATTACTGGCAGCTCCGCCAAGCTGGTCGCACCACCACTACTTCGTATTGGGCTCTATGGTGTTTCACTCACTCGGCCGCCAGTCGCGCTGCTAACGACGCGATAATTCTGAATATGTCAACTTTTTAGTTTGCAAACGTGCATGATGGATAATTTCGATACTGAAAAATTTATTATTGATATTCAAAATAGACCATCAATTTGGGATAGTTCCTCAGCAGATTACTCTAATAGAGATTTGAAGAAGAAATGTTGGGAAGAAATTGTAGATTTATATGGAGGAGAGGGGCAAACAGTTGAACAAAAAAAAGACTTAGGTAAGTAAGGAATATTATATTTTTATTAATTAATACAATTATTTTGCCATGAAAGTGGGTTTTCATTTACAAAATAATTCATGAAGTTATCTCGAGTTGTGGTAGCAGCACGTCCTCCTCTAGTAAAATGTCGCTGTGTTATAGTTTCAAAACCGGTTACTGTCAGAGTATCATCATATGAATACCCATCTCTAGCACGCACAAAATTGTGCGAGACACACAACATGTTCTCACAATTGATTTTGCTAATTCGGTGTGGACATTCAATGGCCTGTGGAAAATTCTCCATTTGTTGGTTAAAATTCCAAAAGTGCACTCGATGTAACGGCGCGCTCTCGACAGTCTGTAGTTGAAAATTTTTTTGTCGACGCTGAGGTTGTTCCCTCCAAATGGGCGCATGACATTTGTGCTCAACCCGAATGCTTCGTCGCCTACAAATACGTAAGGAAAAAGCGTTGTGCTATTTTCCGAAATTTGAAGGGGCTCTGGAATATTTAAAGTATTGCTCATGAGCTTCTTATAAAAGTCAGTTTCTTGGAATATTGCTGAATCACTACTTTTCCCATAGGCACCTACGTCTATGTACATAAAATTATAATTAGCGTCACATACAGCAAGCAGCACCATTGAAAAAAAGTGTTTATAGTTATAACATAATGAACCAGAATCAGCAGGTTGAATCAGTCTAATGTGCTTCCCATCGATACTACCCAGGCAGTGTGGAAAGTTCGAATGCTTTTCGAAATCATCTGCTGTTTTGATCCAGTCACTTGCAGAGGCTGGAAGTGATAAACATGTTTGCAACTTATCCCAAATCACGGCACACACTTCTTTAATTATTGTGCTTAAAGTTGTTTGTCCTAGACGATAATTATAATGCAATTCCCTCATTGTACATCCACTAGCGAAGTACCTGTAATTCAGAGAAATATATGTTTTATATAATATATAAATATATGTTTTTTTATTAATAAATAATTGATTGGTACTAAAATAAATCCCAAGAAAAAACACACCATAAGTTAAATTCAGAGAAATACTAACTACTAATCATTTCTTTTCAGGTTTGGTGGAAAAGTATAAGATCATGCTATTCTCGGGAAGTCAAAAGACAAAAAATTTAAAGTCTGGTTCTGGAGCCACTAACCGCAAAAGCGAATACATATACTTTAAGCAGTTACAAAAAGTAGTAGCTATCAGAGAAAAAGAAGATGACGAAGAAGAAAATTCGGAGAGCACTGAAGTACGTGAGCGTTCTAAAGAAAAAGCTACCATCAAACGTAAACGGCAATTGGCTGAAGATGATGATCCCTTTGTACGAACTCTAAATAATTCTATTGAGCAGAGACAACGTGAGACATCAGAGCAGATACTACGTGAAACAGCAGAGACCGATGAAGATCGATTATTTCTGCTGTCATTGTTGAGCACACTAAAAAATCTGCCTGTTCAAGTTAAAATGGCTACCAAGATAAAGATGCTAACTTTGTTGAACGATGCGTCAGATTATTCTGGTTACATGACGTTTGATTATGCTGATCGTTCATTTCGGCATACTTCACAAGCTAATTCAGGTGGTAGACTGGTTAGTCAAGGCAACTATCATCCTGGTTCTTCGACGCAACCGCGCACCACGAATTATCCGACTGAAACTATTACAAATAGTCCTGGATATAATTCTTTGAATACAATAATGTATACAAGTTCTCCAAGCGATACACCTGATTCACTGGACTCGGAACCATATATGGAACTGTTTAACACTCAAAATTGTAGTAACTAACTCCAAAAAAATGTTCGTGAATTGTTTGTTCAGTCACATTCTTTAATAAAACTTACCTACTAAAAAAGTTCATTATTTGTTTTAACTTACCTTAATGTTACAAATAACTTTTCTTCGGGACTGACAGACTTTCTTAATATTGTATCTTGTTTCAATAAATCATATCTGCACAGAGTCAATAACTCGTCAAAGGACCTCATGGACATTCTGACATAGTTAAAAAACTTATCTGGATATCTTCTCAGACCTTCGTATATGTTGATAAATTGTCCTTTCTTAGTGCGATCGGCTAAGTAAGGATGAATCCACCACTGTTTTCTTTTTCTTTTTAACTTTCTTTTCCTTCGTATATACAGCAACAGTGCTAACTCTTCGACGTTCATTTTGATACTGTGGCCGTAGTCGGTGTCTCGGGTTTGGTAGCTTCAAGACACCACGGTTGTGCGACTGGTTGCGCCGCCATGGTGTCCCGGTGAAATAGGGCCCTTAGTCTAAGCCATAACTTTTCTCCATTTCCTTTCACGATTTTTCTGGTCTTTCAAACTTTTACTCAATTATTTGATCCGGAAGAACAACAAATAGTTTCTTAGCTTTTTCAGGGCAGTCAATGTTGCTGCTCTTCAACTGAAGTTCGCCTATAAAATTTTGCTTTTCTGTCACTATTTCGTCCCCATTGAATGTAGTAAGCACCTTATTAAGCTTAATTTGATTCATGAAAGCTATGCACAGTTTTGATAATCCACTCTCACTAAGATGGTCTATCCAGGAGTAAGTTTAATTCGAGGAACTTTTCAACCTCTCATCCTGCAATTTATGGCAAACAAAGCCGGCCAAATTTTTCAGCCCATCATACTCGAGCTCATCCATTTCTTCCACTAAAACTTCCTCGTTATAGTCAGCTGATACTCCAAGAGCATTCCGTTTATTCGTTAATGATGCGGTTAGTGGAATGTCCGGCGTATCCTCTTCCTCTACGCTGCAACACTCTGAGTATGTGCCTTCGTTTCGCCCCAAAATATATGACCTTATCCTCTACTTAAACTCTAGGGGATAAGTTGAGCCCTTTGCCTTTTCTCGTAAGCACTTTTCCGCTTTTCCCCATCAACAGATGTAGATGGTCCAGGTGACGATAGAGACTTGGGTAAATTTTCCATAGGAATGGCATCATCTTTTACAGCACGGTAACTTTTACAACAGCACACAGCATTTTTAACAATTTATCAACCACACAGGCTATATAAAGTATGTATAACTAATAGAACAGGCCACAAAACCACCAACAAATCGCACTGCATAGTATTAACCACGATAAACGTGAACTGCAGTAACGTTACGACAACTCACCGGGTGACGTAACGAAGCTCCGCCCATATGCGCAATATCCTATCTTCAGTGTATGTGTATCGTGACTGTGACATATGCACAGACGTCAACGTCATGTGGCAGATGGCGGTGGAGTTAATTGTGGAAAAACTGCTAAAAATACAGTGGTTTGGGAAAAAAATCATGAAAAAAAGAGTGCTTCATCCACACTTTTCTTGTTTTAAAATAATATATCTGACTACCCTCTATAAGTTTCAAGTGGAAAAACAGTGTAATCCGAAGTTCTACAAGACGCAACAGAACCCATGTTTACTTAATATTCAGCGATTCTTCTGATGGTTTCATTTGTTTCATTGCATTATAATGCCTAGAGATCGCAGACGCGCTCATTTCACTCAACTTTCCGAGTTTGAGAGGGGTCGGATATCGGGTTACTTGAAGCCGAATTTTCTTTTAGAGAAATTGCTAATCGGGTGAATCGAAACGAAGCTACTCTAATGAGATGATCTTGAGCGTGGTTCCAAGAAGGCCGAGATCGACGAGTTAGAGGCACTGGACGTCGAAGATAGACTACAGAGCGACAGTATCGTTACTTTAGGCAACTAGTACTTAAAACCCGCCATTGCTCGCGTTATGAGCGCAGCGCTCATTTTGAAATTTACAAGTTAAAAAAATACATTTGGCTTCTTCCATTTGTGTATTCTTCTATAAGGTTGTGCTAATTCAGATTGTAATATCAATCGCCGGAGGTACGCCAATGTGTGTGCTAAAAATCGAAATACGCCAAGTGACTGTTGGAGTTTGTTTTTCCTAACGAAACAATCGCCGAAATAGTTCAACACACAAACACATATTTGGAAAAGATGCGAAGTAAATATTCACGAGAGCGAGATGTAGGTGCTACAAATATCGAAGAAGTAATGGCTTTATTTGGTTTATTATATCTTGCCGGCATTTCAAAGGCATCCCATGTGAACCTTGAAGATCTTTGGGCGACAGATGGAAAAGCGCCGGAATGTTATCGTACAGTTATGTCGAAAAGTCGATTGTACACCCTGCTTCGAGCGCTACGTTTTGACAATATTCACGATAGAGTAGAACAGCAGAAGTCTGACAAGCTGGCTCCAATAAGAAAGGTGTTTAGTGAATTTGTTGAAAGGTGCTCTTCTTCTTATCAAGTTGGAGAATATTGTTGTATTGATGAGATGCTTGAAGGCTTTCGCGGAAAATGCAATTTCCGGCAATATATTCCTAGTAAGCCGGCTAAATATGGAATCAAAATCTTTGCACTTGTAGATTCCCGCACATTTTACACTTCAAAGATGGAAATTTATGCCAGAAAGCAGCCGGAAGGTGATTATCAGTTAGATCATTCACCACCTAGTGTAGTAAAGCGCCTCATAGATCCTATTGCACATACCGGGCGCAACCTTACCTGCGATAATTGGTTTACCTCTATTCCATTAGCTGTTGACTTGCTTCAAAATTATAACACAACGTTGCACATAGGGGTATTTGACCAATTTGGCTGGCCAAAAGTCAATTTTGTCAAATATAAATAAACAGCCTGTGTTAGTGCTCGGATAGTTGCTGCACATCATAGAAGCCCTTGCCCGCATACTCGCGATTACCGTCGCTTGGAACAACAAGTCTAAACTTGTCCGTCGTTCATAGCACATTCGTCGCTTATATCTATTAAGTGTGATCGTTAAGTTGGACATCGAATACTATTTACTGAGTGAATCTTTTATATTATTTTTGTAGAAAGAGATTCATAAATAGCCTAGTGAAAATATGTACTATTGTTCTTAAGTTTTATTTATTTATTTTTCGATTATCTAAGAAATTAGTTATACGTCAGGGTCCTTCCCGGTTGTATTTTTCATTGAAAGTTACTGAATAGACCTCTTGTAATACGACAATAAAGAAATCAGCTGCCCTTTTCTGCTCTTTTTCGTTATATTTACATTTTCTTGGAAGTAGTCCTTACTTAGCGAATAGTGCAGCATTAAAAGTACTCAGTTTTAATATAATTTTTATTTTGCATTAGATACTCCAGGTGGCTCAAACTACAGAGTAATATCTAGAAAAAGATTATACGATAAAATGCAGTAACAGAACCGAATTTAGAAGAAAAATTAAATTATTTGGAAAATGAACTTTTAACATATGGTGATTATAGTCAAGAGCAAATAAGAGAGTTGAAGCATACATTTTCTTATATAAAAAGTGAATTTAAAAGATGGTCAAAAGGTAAGAGGGAAGAAGACAAATTCTTAAAAGAGAATGCTGATTGGCTGCAAGGAACATTCCAGATACCTAAATCTTCCCATGGACGTGTTGGTCGACCATTAAAACCATTTAGTGAGTTATCTGAGAGAAGTAGAAGGAGCAAAACAGAGCAACTACGAAACACCGTAAGTAAAGAGGCTCTCGTTCATGCTGCAAAGGTGAGTTTGCAGAGTTCTGGGAATAGAGACACATTTGCAAGTCAACGCAACACAACTTACACCTCTTCGTTCGTTATCAATGTTTGTGGAAGCGGATCTTTCCCGAAAACAGTACGAAGTAATACGAGATTCAAATAAGAAATATTACCCTTATTATACCATATTGCAAAAGGAAAAACGTAAGTGCTATCCGCAAAAAGAGTCATATCATGTAAGTGAAACATGCGCCGAAATTGAACTGCAGCACTTGCTAAACCGTACAGTAACACGACTTTTGATATATTTGCAAGAGGTCTTAACTAACCTTACACAAAAAGAACGTGACAGATTAGAGCTGATAACTAAATGGGGCTGCGATGGATCGCAGCAATCCCAGTTCAAGCAAAAAATGCAAAACAATGAAGACACAGATTCCAATATTTTTCAAAGTTGCCTAGTTCCCCATCATCTCCAAGATACTGTCGTCCGATTAGGATCAGCTTTATAAAAGAGACTACTGATACTACAAACAATGAAATCAAATACATTCAAAATCAAATTGATACATTAGAGAACAGTGTATTTACGAGAGAAGGGATATCTGCGAGTGTAAAACATACCATGGCATTTACTATGGTAGATGGAAAGGTGTGCAACGCTGCCACACAGACAGCGTCTATCATGAAATGTTATATCTGTGGAGCAACACCAAAGCTTTTTAACGACCTTTCCATTAAGAAAGATGTGGATAGTGACGCTTTATCATTTGGTTTGTCCATTTTGCATGCGAGAATCAGATTATTCGAAAGTATAGTACACCTTTCTTACAAATTACCTGTAAAAAAATGGCAGTTAAGATCCGAAGCTGACAAGACTGTTGTTAAAGAAAGAAAAGTTGAAATACAAAAAGTATTTAGGGAAGAAACAGGCTTAATAGTAGATGTACCTAAAGCTAATTTTGGTAACACCAATGACGGCAACACCAGTCGGCGATTTTTTACCGAGCCACAAAAAGCAAGTAAAATCACTGGAGTTGATTTCAATTTAATTTATAGACTCAAAATAATTTTGGAAGTGATTTCAAGTGGCCTCAAAGTCGATTTTAAAAATTTGCTGACTATTGTTTTGAAACTGGAAAAATTTATATTTCTTTATATTCGTGGCATCCTATGACCCCAACAATGCACAAAATTCTTTTGCATGGGGCAACAGTTATGGAGAAAGCGTTATTGCCAATCGGGATGCTCTCCGAAGAGGCCGCTGAAGCCCGCAACAAATATTTTAGGATGTACCGAAATAGCTTTGCACGAAAATTTTCAAGAGTAGAGTGCAATCTTGACATCTTGAATAGACTTTTGTTAAGTTCCGACCCATTAATAACCAGCCTAAGACCGACAATAATAAAATCATCAAAACCTTTTTCGAAAGAAGCCACTGAAATGTTGATTCCAGCCGATATAAACACAAATATGGATAATTCAGACTCAGAAGAGCTTACAGACAAAGAAGAGAATGAATCAGACGACGAATCATGCCCCTAATCATGGTCTAGTTAATTATATTGTTTTAATTGAATTTAAATAAAGTGTTCCTCGCAAATAAAAAAATATCTGCACTCAATTGTTTTTTTAAAAACTTATCAGACACAAGTTATTTATCTCAACATAAAATAACATAAGAAACCTTAAAATTTCATAATAGCGGGAAAAATAATGTTGGCCAGCCAGATCGGTGAAATACCCGTATGTGCGTTGGTAGGAACCCTTAGAAAAAATAAGGCGGCAATTCCACCTCTTTTTATTACCCCCAAGGGAAGAAAGCAGAAAAGTATCATCTTTGGCTAATGGAAAATATTGCGTACTTTTATCATACGTTCCAAAGAAAAATAAAAACGTTCTCTTGTTATCCACATTCCATGAAACTGATGCTATTTTTTATTCTAATACAAACAATAGAATGGATCGGCGGCTTTATCTAAAAGCACTGAGCACCGAGCTTATTAAACCTCACTTGATAAATCGTGCTTCAATTAGAACCTTGCCCGTTCTACTTAGCACTTTATCGACATATGCTGGAAGTACGCCAACAGCCGAGGTCAAGCGATTTTAAAAAAAGGATAAAACACATATAATGATACCATGTCCAAAATCTATAACATTATACAACAAGTATATGGGAGGTGTGTACCTGCTGGACTCCATGCTGGGATACTGTAGAATCAAAATCAGATCGAAAATGGTACATGCGCATATTTTTTCATATTATTGATTTGATGACTGTCAATGCATGGATACTCTGGAGAAGAAGTGGCAATGAGTTCAGTGATTTAGCTTTAGTAGATTTCAAAATGGCAGTAGCAGAATGCTTGTGTAACGTCAATAAATCCAGATTTACTAGAAAAAGAGGCCGTCCAAGTGAAGCTATGGCAAATTCACAAAATAGGGCAAAAAGGGGTCCAGCGACTGATGTTCCAATGCAAGATGTTCGAGCAGATGGATATGGTCATCTTCCAATATGGTGTATGGAGAGACAACGATGCAAATATACTTGCGGTGCAAAAAGTTATATAAACTGCAAAAAATGTAATGTTTATCTGTGCTTAAACAAAGACAGAAATTCAACACATTATTAACATTAAGGTGAGATATCTCAGCTATTTTGCAAAATTTTTAGTTAAAATTTGGATCACTTTCTATTTATCAGTAGACTAAAAACTCCTAGTCAGTGTTGCATTTTCTACGTAATTTATTATAATATGTGCCTAGGTTCTTCATATTATTAACCGTCTCATCACAAAGATAACTTCCTTCTTAGGAGGAACGTTGTGATGGACAACGAGCGTTTCTCACTCCGAGAATAGTCTCCAGGAGCGCCTCTACTATCAGTGGTCAGGAATATAGTTCCCCGAAAGATTACAGAACCACGCTCACTTTACCAGATATTATACTTTCTAGTTTGAAGAATTAGCCGCCAGGAAAATCATATCATTTTTGGATAATTCTTAGTAACATTCACTTCTTGTTATTATGCCAGAAGCAAAATTGAGTGAATATTATCACTACATTCTGTCATATTTAGTAACGTTACCCTTAATAACCAATTCCCACACATTTTACAGCACCTTATCGCCTATTTAAGTGAAATAATTATTTTATTTAACATGCTATAATGCTATAAAGTATAATACTGATGCAAATGGCCATATGTACAAAAAAAAATCAAAAGCAATGGACGTTGAAAATCTTCCAATTTTCTTAGAAAGTCGATTATAAAATAACAATACAATTTGTACCCAATTGCTTAAAAGTATTTCTCCCAAATACCCACCACTATTTTTTTCAAACGGAATAACTTTTTTTAAAAAACCTTGCAAAAATATATATTAGCAACAACTTTACTCTTTTTTCTATGTACAAATAAATAATGGACAGAAACTCAAGACCAAATAACTAACAATTACTATGACTAGTTATTAAAATTATGAATCAAGAAAAACAGAACAGGACCAAAGCTTTCCCGACAATTTTGACCATGTCAAATTTATAGGACAAGTCTTCAATCTATATATTTGAAACAACTCTGTGACAGAAGGGAATTTACCGAAAAGCGCTAGATTCTCACTTCTATATGGTATAAATATGCAACTGACGGAAAAAGAGCGGAAAACGTATTCGTAGATTTGACAATCCCTATCCGCCTGACTTTTTTATTATGACATTTTAAATTATACAGGGCGATTCACAAGTTGTGACCAAAAATGAAACATCATACGTCCTGTGTATGATGTTTAATTTTTTCCTCGAGGGCTTCATTAAAATGATACAGGGTGCTGAAGTTTAAAAATAAAAAACAGTTTTTTTGATATCTTCAAAACCGTCAACTGAAAAGTTTTACGTGCACCAGTGGCGCAGATACAGGGGATTAGTGATACTATTCTTTCAAATAAAAATAGCACGCCACTGTTCTTTTTGAAACGCGCAACTTTACCTTCAATTTGCTACAAACAATTACTCTTGTTTTGTTTTCCAGAGTGCACTGTTTTCGTAAAAATAAAAACAAAACAAATTAGATCATTCATGAAGTGCCGCGATAAAAGTTTCAAAATAAAGTAGGAGGCCTTAATACCAGCTTGACGTTTCTTGGAAGATAGTTTGTCAAAGTTATGTGTTATACGATTGTTATCGTTACTACTATTTTTTTGTAGAAGTCAAAAGTTTCTTTTTTCCATTTTTCAGTGTTGTTAAATGGAATTTAGAAATGTGCAATGTCTGCAACCCGGCACCGAAGTACAATTACGAAATTTTTGTGAGCGGTTACTGCAAATGCATAATCAAAATGCATATTTTATTGATTTGGTTTTGTGGTCAGATGAATCGCTTTTTATGAGGAGTGGAATTCGCATAATGAACATATTTGGTCATTAGAAAATCCCCGTTCTGTTAGAATCCACTCGTTTCAACACAGATTTTCTAGAAATGCCTGGTGCGGCATTTTCAATAGCCAACTGTTTATGCACGTATTGCCACAACGTTCAAATGCAAACTCACACTTAGCTTTTATAGAGAATTACATAGAAAATGTGTTAGATGATGTTCCATTAGCAACGAGAGTACGAATTTGGTATCAGCATGGCGGTGCCCCTCCGCATGTTCGTCATGACACCCACATGGTATTTAATTTATTTCCACGATGACTCCAGCCAGAGGTCCATATTTAATTTTGGTGTGTTGTTCTATTAAAAGCTTAATAACTCAAAATCTAGTGATTTTGTCTAAATCAAACCTTATACAAAAAAGCTTATAAAAAATTGAATCCAAACTTTCATTTGAATATTTTTATAAAAAGTACAATTCGCGTTTTTGACCACCATGTATAAGCAAAAATAAAAAATTCGAAAAAGTAACAAGCTGAGGTGTGTAAGTAGGAAATTACTAAAACCCCATACTATGTTATATGAATCTTCTTCTTGTCAATTGGTTTATCCAAATATGCAATAAAATTTTAGGCCTTCCATTTAAAAAATCACACCTTTGATATGTAGGTCAAAATTGGGACACCCTGTATAATAGATTTTTCCAAAATGTATTTGTTTATGAGTAATATTCCATCCACACCTGGATGGGCCACCCTATATATACATATAATAAATTATGATACAGGGATACAAAATACAAGATAATTTCATTTATTTATGACTTGTTCCGAAACAGTCAAGTCAAAAGTGGGGATTTCCTTCTCAACTGTCATAATATGTAGTAACTTTTGGAATTTTATTTTTTGGTATTGCACCGCTCATTTTTTAATTATAACATCCTTTACAATACCGTCTGATTTCATGTGATTTTCCTTCTTTTTTTTTCAGTACATGTTGTTCCCGTCTTGTGTCAGCTTTTGACGTAGACGGTAGATTAGGCACATTATTTGTTGGGAACATGACTAGCCTGATGGACATTTTTGTAACATTTTGCTTGGCGTTTAACGTGTTAAATAATCATTTTAAACAACGATGGATTATCAGAAACGGACCCGTACAATGGCCTGCTAGATCTCCTGATTTGAGCGCCCTCGATTTCTTTTTGTGGGGCGCTTTTAAACAACTAGCGTATGCTGAACAAATTAATACTGTTGATCAGTTACAAGAAAGAATAGATAATGCGTTTCATTAAATTCAAGCCATAAAATTTTTTTAAAAAGATGCCGCACTGGAATCCGCCAGAATGGTAGCATTTTTGAACATTTTTCGAAATTTAGCTTTGATTATCTAATTTTTTTTTATTTTTACGAAAACAATGCCCTCTAGGAAACAATAAGAGTAATTATTTGTAGCAAATTGAAGGTAAAATTCGAACCAAATTTTAGTTCATTCCAGTTGACGGTTTTGAAGATATTAAAAAAAGTCTTTTGTTCTTAAACTTTACCCCGTATCTTTCCAATCCCTCAAAGAAAAATACATCGAAATGTAAAATGCGGTCCTGTGTATGATTTTTCATTTTTGGTCACGACTTGTGAATCACCCTGTATAGCTTAGTAGGTAGATCCCTAAGCTCCGACCCTGACCTCTTTTTAGATCAAGTGATCTTCGCCTTTGGTATTTACATAACTTTACTTGCATTATACTTATCAGAAGCATTTTACTCTATACAGAAGTGCGCGATATTAGCGTTCCAAGCGACCAATGCTCCAAGCTTTATACTAAAGTGCAGTGTTTGAGATTCAGTTGAATATAAAAAAAGATCAAAAGCGCTCTTACTTCTCTCCTGTCACACAACGCAAACAGAAATATCTAAATATATCACCCATTTCACGACAATCACTGCTTGTTAGTATTGTCGTTCAGTTTCTTTCGTCTTCTACCACCCTCTAAGAGATAAGAGACATCAAGCACCTGCTTTGTAGGCATCTTGCTCAAGAGATTCAAAAGTATTTTGTTGAGTCTTGTTTTTTGCTCCAGCCGAGTCTGGAATTATAAAAATATGAAAATTAGGACTGATTTACAATCTAGCTTTAGGCTTCTTAGGTATCACATAGAAGAGTCTACCAAGTTATACAGGGTGTTTGGAAGCTCGATACAAACCTCTTAAGGGCTGATAGTAGTACGCCGCATTTGGAACACAGTAATACAAAGTCAGTTTTTCATGAAAAAGGCCAAATTTACGTGATAGACCATCGCTTGTTGAATATTAAAGGGCAACTGCTCTGTTTTATTTTGTCATTTCTCTTGATATACAGTAACGGACAAAAGTATATAGACAAATTAATATTGTGCTGTATAATTCGTTATAGCACAATAATTATACATAAATAAATTCATTAGACTCCCTTCAATAAAAAATTAATTGAAAAAAACTGGAACTATGAAGGACAAAAACATATAGACAAAGCAAAACAATTATAGAAAAAAGAAGCAAAGTTCATTGAATTATAGAAAACCAACCATGTTTGTGTTAATATTTTGTAGCATAACCATTATTATCATTCACCGTCTGGCATCGTCTCGGCATAGATTGTAGAAGTTTCTTGATTAAGATTCATCAATCTGTCTCCACTTGTGCTCTAAAGCGGCAAAAAGTTTATCCTTGTTTGAATAATTTTTCTCTCGTATTTGCTTATCCAAGTATTCCCATAGATTTTCAATGGGGTTTATATCGGGAGACTGTGAGGGCCATATGAGAACTTATTCTTTCATCCAGAAAGAATGTCTGCAAGATTTGAAGTGTGCTTCGGGTCATTATCTTGCTGGACGATTGATCTTAAGGGCATATTGTCTTCCACATATGGTAACATGACAGACTTCAGCACAAACTTATCCATAATGCCATCTATTCTATGTAAAGGTCCCATCCCAAACCCCGAAAAGCACCCCCAAACCATAACAGACCCTCCATGTTTGACAGTGGGTAAAGTGTACTTGGGGTTCAATCTTTGTCCACTAGGACGTCTAACGTAATGAACACCATCTGATCCAAAAACATGTTGAACTTGGATTCGTCTCTGAAACATACCCTCTTCCAGTCACAGATGCTCCAATCAAGATGCAACCGAGCAAATTGTAATCGGTCCTTACGTTTTTTTCACCATATTAGCGGCTTCTTACTCGGGCGACATGCAAATAACTTCAAATCTTATACTAATCTACTTATAGTTTTCGTAGACAATTCCTTTTGTCTCGATTTCGGCTTTTATTTGTCTTGGGGTTTTAAACGGATCTTTGGAAGAAATTAGTTTTACTAATCTAACTGATCGAGTATTTAGTTTTCTAGGCCGACCACTTCTCTTAGAGGCTTCCAAGGTACCTTTTTGTTTATATTTGTTCAATATTGCCCAAACGCTTCAGCTTCAAATTTTTGGAAATGTCGACTTGACGTTGACCATCTTCACTCAAATCACTCAACTTATTCCACAATTCTTGATGAACTCAAACTAATCCTCTTCTGACACGAAACTGCACTAAACTAATGTTGAAAAGAATTTGTCTACATATTTTTGTCTCTCATAAAAAAGTGTTTATATTCAGACTTGTATTGCGTTCATTGCAGATAATGTAAAAACAAGGAAATTAGTTTTTCTACTAATAACGCATTTGTTTATGGAGTAATGAAGTATGAATTCGTTTTCTAAAGGTATTTGTCTATATACTTTTGTCCATTACTGTACATTCGCATTTTACTAATAGTTTCCAGGTTATCGGAAGGTGGAGTACGTATTATTGAAAATAATTTTAGTTCGCTGAATGCTTCTATTTTGACGGCATCGTGGCTTTTCCGACGGGAAAAAAATGAAAAAAATTTGCGACAGTATGAATCAAAATCATTGGAAAACTTTTTCCACTTCTGCTGTTTTTTATGGGATATCATACGAAGCGATACAAGTACATTTTTTCAAATCAGAAAATATTAGAACAAGTATAATTTTATTGAAATTACGGAAAACTGAATTGAATTTTCCATAAAATACTGTACAAAAGAAGAAGTACAACATTCATTCTTTCACTCAATAAGAAAATGTAAATTATTATTTCCTACATATCTTCAGTCAGCTTTGATATTTGATGAGTGATAACGATACTCCAAGATGCGCCTTCATTGTTTTCAATTTATAAAATATATTAAGGTCATCAAAACTGTGCTACCGACTGCAGAGATCTTCACGGCATTCCGACGACACAGAGGGGGAATGCTGATGACATAGAACACGTTTATAAATTAGTAGAATAGTTTTTATAATTTGTCATTAAAGTGTATGTATATTACCAACAATGCAAAAAAATAAGGGAAACGCAAATAGTACTTTTTTGCAGAAAAGGTACTCACCCTCACAACAGGAGGTGTCGCAGGCACTATAGTTATCACCTCCTTGTTGTTTGTATTCTTATTCGAGTTGTCCTCATTTTGTTTTTGACGTCGTGCATTTGATTTGATCAGAGATGCGTCAACGTCATGGGGACAGTAAGTCCTGCTGATCTTCAGTCTTGATTCAAATCTGGAAGAAAACAATACATATTCTTAATCATAGAACCGACTCTATACATATTATTATTACAAATAACGAACTGAGAACAAAAATACTATAAGCTTGTAAACATATACAGGGTGACCCAACGAAAAGGTCGCACCCTCATTCGTTACTCTACTGGTATATTTTGAGAAAAACGCTCGGACACGCCAATTTTGATTCTATCAAAATCGTCTTCATTAAGCTCATTTTCTCCATGGCGATTGCGGCGAATATTAGACACAGATCCAGTTTCTTAAAATTTCCTTATCAACAAAATGCAATATTCAAAGTAATGCAACTGTTACTTTGGCAATTTTCTTTAATATTTTTATGCAACAAGAAATTATTAAATGAAGAATATCGCATAACCTGTGTGGCATATATTAACCTTTTATCTGGTAATGTTGACCTCAAGCAACCTGTCTCTAGCAGCCTGTATGTGAAAAAAAAACAATGCTTGCCAGCGAGGGTTAATATATCCTAGCCCAATAAGTGCTTATTATAAACACTAAAAAAATCTAAATCAAGACCATTACGCTAAGAAAACATGTCGAAATGCAATAAATGCACGACGCAAATGCCCTATCTTTTTCCATCGTTGGGGCATTCTGAGGATGCGAAATCTTATCAACAACCACGAGGGGGGGACGGATGATCTTGGATAGCTGATGCATGTTCAGCAATAAGTAAATTTCTTTAAAAAGAAAATGTAGCCTGTTTTTGGCAACATGGCAGTGACGATAGAAATTGTATGTGAATTCGTTGATCGATAATTAAGTTGTCAGAATGGGATCTTGAAGTAATTTAAGAGTGACATTACCTTTCGAAGGCGAAGCTCTTAGTGCAAACAGGATACTTCGCAGCTTTACTGAACATCTTCGCCCCCTTGTCAACTCTGTTCTCGCAGATGTAAATATGTTCAGGTTGGGAGCCCACTGGCCTTCCTTTGCAGTACGTGTTGGGGTCCAGCACCCAACAACGGGAGATGATCAGCTCGATCGGTACAGCTTCGTAGAGAGGCACTCGCATTACTTCATTCGGGAAGAACCTAGAGGAGAGAAGTCAATTAGAGTAATTCAGTATTTCCTACGGGTTCTACTCGAGAATCAATCTACTAAAAATTCCTTAGGCTGAGGTCAGTGGAGGTGGTAGACTAAGCGGCAACAAATACGCTAGATGCTGAAATAATACATCTCACTATCTCAATGAACAAACCTATGTAAACATCCACATCCCGTTGGAGACGTGCTAGGCGGTTCAACGACCAAAATCTATATACAGTAATGGACAAAAGTATATAGACAAATTAATATTAAAACCAACCATGTTTGTGTTAATATTTTGTAGCATAACCATTATTATCAATCACCGCCTAGCATCGTCTCGGCATTGATTGTAGAAGTTTCTTGATGAAGGATTCATCAATCTGTCTCCACTTTTGCTCTAAAGTGGCAAAAAGTTCATCCTTGTTTGAATAATTTTTATCTCGTATTTGCTTATCTAAGTATTCTCATAGATTTTCAATGAGGTTTATATCGGGAGACTGTGAAGGCCATTTGAGAACTGGTATTTTTTCATCCAGCAAGAATTTCTTTGCGAGATTTGAAGTGTGCTTCGGGTCATTATATTACTGGAAGATTAATCTTAAGGGCATATTGTCTTCCATATATGGTAACATGACATCTTTAGTATGTCTGTGTATACAAACTTATCCAAATGCCATCTATTCTATGTAAAGGTCCCATCCCAAACCCCGAAAAGCACTCCCAAGTCATATCAGACCCGCCTCCATGTTTGACAGTGGGCAAAGTGTACTTGGGGTTCAATCTTTGTCCACCAGGACGTCTAACGTAATGAACACCATCTGATTCAAACATATTGAACTTGGATTCGTCACTGAAACATACCCTCTTCCAGTCAGATGCTCCAATCAAGATGCAACCGTGCAAATTGTAATCGGTCCTTGCGGTTTTTCCTCGAGATTAGCGGCTTCTTACTCGAGCGACGTGCAAATAACTTCAAATCATTTAATCATCTACTTATAGTTTTCGTAGAAGCACTGACATCTCCTTTTGTCTCGATTTCGGCTTTTATTTGTCTTGGGGTTTTAAACGGATATTTGGACAAAATTAATTTTATTAATCTAACTGATCTAGCATTTAGTTTTCCAGGCCGACCACTTCACTTAGAGGCTTCTAAGATACCTTTTTGTTTATATTTGTTCAATATTGCCCAAACTGCTTTACGCGTCAGCTTCAAATTTTTGGCAATGTCGACTTGACGTTGGTCATCTTTGTATAACTTTGTATAACTCAATGATATTAGTTTTCACATCAGCCAGTAAATCAGCATGTGGCAATCTTGGATACATCGGAGTAAGATTGTTAGATTGACTATAACTAAAAATCATCTACTGATCAACGTGTAAGATATCGTGTTAAGTCCATATAAGGCTGAGGTCACAAGATCAATAAAAGATACAATTCGAAAATTTTTATTAAGAATGTTATAAATTTGCACTTTCAAAGATAACATGAAAAGTTTATAATAGCTCTAACCACGTAGAGCCTCATGTGACATCTCACCTCAGCACCAGCATCTTATCCTGTCACTAAGCTCATTACCTGCAGTGTGACCTCAACCTTACAAGTGCTGAAATTGCTACTTCAACGTCTAATTTTTGTATGATATAAATTGAAAAGTATTCGATCAGAACTCACTTTCTTGTAGGCTCATGAAAGGTCTCGTGCGGTCTAAGATAATGATGTCCGTAAGCCATTCGTCTCCCCGTATCTTTTTCTTTCCACAACCTTTCTATCCTGAAGATATCCAGCTCTCCAGGGTCCACATGCCCTATTGTATCGTAGGTATGCTTACGATCCGTGCCCTTTATTGGTATATCTCTCAAGACGTACACTGTGTCGCCTTGCCTTACCTGTAAATGATTAAAAACGTAAGAATACTGTAAAAAATAGCATTTATTGCTCAATTATTCATATACTCATTTTCAAAAAATTATGAAGGCCCTGAAAGCGCATTTTGATTTCACCCAAAATAGCAGCACATTATGATTTTACTCAAAACGACATGAACTCAGGAATAAACAAAAAATGTTTGCTAAAACTCTAGACCAGCAAAGACTGTACGTATAATTAAGGATATAGTCAAATAGAAACAGGATAGATTAGAAAATTATTTTCCTTGACAACACCCTAAAATAAACAACATAAGCTTAAAAACGTCAACAAGTTCTAATTATGATGTATGAAGAAGATGGAACGATTCTTTAACGAAATGTCAAACCTAACAAATTGTTCATTATTGAGCAGACCATACAATATCAATAGAATTTTCAATTTTTTTCACTAACCTGTAAATCCCCTCTCATAAGAGTCATAAAGAACTGGTGTCCATGCTCTGTATATTCGTCCATGGGTATCTCGTAGTCCACCTCTCTTGGAACACAAACTTCGCAATGATAGCTGGGCGCTGAAACGTCAGCTTTGACGCATTCACAGTGTTGCCAGACTAGGCAACGTTCGCACTGGATCATCAGACCTTCGTCCCTTGGGATACCGCAGATGCAGCGGATGATGTCTTCCTCTTCACCTGAAAAGAGAGATGATGGATGTCTAGATGACAAGTACTAGTAGTTTCCAAACTATTCATTACGTAACTACAATTGTCATATTACAATTAAGGGGTAAACTGCAAAAATCTATGAAGTCACATGAGGAAAAATGTGAAGAAAACATAAAAAACATTTTTGATGTTAATTTTTTAGTTACCGAAAATTTTCGTATTTGTTGTCAATTGAAGATAATTCTGTTGCATTATTTCTTAAGTATATCAAACTGTAAATAAAAAAAAAAGTGCTATGAGGGAAAGATTAATGGTTTAAGCACTTTTGTTATTTTTTAAGGGATAAAATGAAGATTAAACAAACCTTGACGTTAAAAATATTATTTTTAGTTAAGTTACTGAATGAAATAAATTAAAACATTATTTAGTTCAATTTTTGATACAAACATTTAAAATATTTCCATTTATTCATCTTCACTGAATTCTGATGCGAAAGTTTCTTTATTATCTGGCGAAAAGCTCTGATGGTATTTTTTGATTTCTTCATAGAACCACTCATCACATTGTGGCACATAGTTTTTAGCCAGAATAATAACGTGATCAAATTTATTTTTCTTTAGCTATCTTATTTTTTATTAGTAGTGTTTGGTAGTCAGGAGCTGCACATTCGTCTTACCTCGGATTTCGAGAAATATATTAAACTGATCCAAACAGTCTCTTTCACTACATTTAAATAATATTTCATTATCAAGTTTTTCATAGCGCATGTTTCGATATTTTGAAATCGTAAATTTATTGTTCTTCCTTGAAGGATTCTTTACAAACAACTTTTGTAAATGGGCCTTGCAATTTAAAAATATATTGAGCGAAACATGGATGACTTTAAAGTTTTTGTTTGTATTTTCAATAATCTTGCGGCAAATACATATATTGTGTTCGAAATTTAGCGTACTAAATTTAGCACAATATTCCATGTCGTGACAGACGGCCGTTAGTGTTAATTTTGCCGCGATTTGTTCAGGGTGATAATGCGGCTTATACACGTTTCAAAAGACTCATACTCACTTTTCCTCCTATTAGGCACGAAATTCGGTGGCGGTTTCTCCCCAATAACATCCTCGAACTTGGCCAGGCTCTGCTTCTTGCTCTCAACGTAGACCTTCTTCAGCTTGGCCGCCGCTACTCCGATCTCACTGGTCCTGCCATAGAAGCGCACGTAGTCCCTGAACACCTTGTTGAAATCATCGTCGAAGGCCGAGGGAGTTTTGTACGCTCCAGTGGCGATGTTTTGCTCTAGAGTGGTTAGGTCGATAGGAGATTGGATGCGCGTGTAGAAGTCAGGTAGTTTGCGTTTTGATGGTAGCGTCATGAAGGGCGCGGAGAGAGGTTCGCCCTTTTCGTCTGAAACAGCAAATATCTCACTCTTCTAGCTGATCATAATCCAGAACCACAAGACTGAGATAGGTTTCAAGTATCATTGTCAAAAGTTAAAAACGGCCAATATATCAATAAAAATTGATGATGAGAACATAACTTTTGTAAACAAAATCAAACATCTGTAGGTTTGAGATCTAACAATCGGACAGATATTTTGTTTGTTTGTCTATTTAAGATATACTTACAATGTTGATGACACTTTCTATGAAATAGGTATTCATTTGATCTGCTATTATTTTTTTATTTGTCACTACCCCATCGTCGAACGTCATTTTAGATAATGTATTTCTTCTAATAGGAAAAACAATGGTTTTCAATGTGTCCACGCTGTTTGCTATTATTTTACTGTCATCGATTTTGGTTTGTAATATTTTTTCTTTTCATCTCGTAGAACTGCTACAAATTGGTTTCTTGCACTTGTGTATTCTAGCCAATCATTTTCACACTCAGTAATCATAAACTTTTTATAATTGTAGTTTCTTTTTAATTTAGAATCCTTGAGCGTCTCTGAGAATTTTTCCTTTTATAAATTATTGTCTTGACTGTAACTTCTTTCACGCAAACTTCAACATTATCCAATAGGCCAAACTGTTGTCGAAGTACCATTTCTCGCCTTTCAGATTCATTTTAGTCTAATATTGTATAACAACCGGTGGGCTACAAAAGTTCTGGGTGGGTTTTAGATTTTTTTTTGGGGAGGCTTCTGGCGTGTGCGGGACGGTTAATGAGGGTGACGTATTCAAAAAACTTCAGATGACCTCATGGTCACTTGTCGTTTTCGAGAGCTGGACGTCCTTTTTTGGGGCGGGGCAGGCAGTCCTGGACTATGCTGGTTTTAAAATTAGGATTGATGGCGACGCGCAATATCAGAATGTTACGGGATCTTTCACACTACTGTAGTAAGACACTATATAGGAATATGAAAACGAATAGAAAAAACAAACGAAGAGTCACCTGGAAGACAGATAAGTGAAAATATATTAGTCATTGTACTGAAGAAGATCGCGGTTGTGACCGAAACGTTTACAATAAAGAAGATTTTTTCAACACGTGGTTTCGATTGGCCAAAAAAATATGGGGGGTTATTTTCCGACTTTGTGGTGTTGCGATATTTAAACATTTCCAACATTTTCGTGTAATTCCCCTTATGCTACAAGAAGATATAAGTTTTTCGCCATTTTTTACATTTTAAAAATGTCAGTGAAATGTTAATAGGCGTGCTCACATGACACACGTAAGTTTGCAGGTTGCAAACTAATAAGCCCATGTTGGCACGCTTCTTGTGAAAAAATGTGTGCGAGTGCATCAGATTTATACCAGAGAACTTGGAAAGGCTGTATCTAGCAATAATATTCAACAAATATTCTCAAGGTAGTGGGGTCAAATACTATTAATTAAAAGGTCTATACGTTATTTTTGTCCAAGTTTGACTTATGAACCTTAGAATTTTCAAATGTTTCCTAGAACGTTTTTACATCTTTCGACACTCCAATATAAGATTTTCTGTCCGTGCTGGCACGGTGCATGTTAGAAATGCAGCTTTAGTGGATCTCCTTTTCTCAAATCTCTAATTACCGTTAGCAGTAGTCACATTGGTCCAAATCTCCTTCAGCAAGGCCGCCAACTTAACGGTCTTGTTGAGTTCTGGATCATCCTCTGCTTGCGCCAATCGTCTAGTCTTCATGTTCCTGGGCTTCTGCAATGCATTCAGATGGTTCACAAACGTACTAGAGTCTGTCGGCGTGGCTGTTTGGGCTCGATTGTTTTGGGAGACCGTGCTCAATGTTCGATCTCTGACCTTCCGGACTTTGCTGAGGTTTCGTAGTAGGAAACAGTGCCTGGAAAAGAATCGTCAAATTTTAGAAAAAAAGAAGAAATTGCAAACGAAAGGTATTTTTGCATGGTACTTGTTGAAACTATTTTATGAAACTAATATGTGTTAAGATTTTTGGGTTGGTCGATATGAAACTATAATCAAGAACATATTGTCTCTGTTTAGTTTTTTCTGTCCCTTAGCGAACCGATCAAAGCAAGGCAAGGCCATTTTATAATACAACAATAGATAATGATAGAACAGTTCTATCTAGATAAATAATATAGTCCCACAAAAAAATAAAGCATGAGTTCCATAATACAGATAATGGTATTACCGTGTATTTTTAGGAATCGGAAATGTTCCTAGACGACTGAATTCACCCCCAGGCCCAAAAATACCAATAGAAAGGGTGGAAATTGAGTTTCCGGTGTCAAATGCTGAAGGATGGAGCTTGTAATTGACTTTCTGATGCCAGCTGTTCAACCATGGTATTCATGTATTCTGGAACGCTGAATCGGTATTTGCGGAAAAAATCCACCCACCCTGAATTCAGCCCCGGCATCAAGCCTACCAGTAATGACGTGTGAAAATTGGGTTTCGAGTGGTGGATGATAAATCGTTGTGTGACATGTCTCGAAATCGCAAATTTGTAAAGGTTTCAAATTCATTTTAGTATAGGTGTGCCAGCATAATACGTAGATATGGACCGAGTTCACATCAGAGCATCTAGCATCCAAAAATGAATTTTCCATCTCTTCTTAGGCGGAGTGTTGGTCCTGGGGGGTGAGTTCTAAGGGTGTGAAAATATGGTTTATCCCAAAATTAGGATTCAAGGTATAAAGTACATGGAAATACCATGCTCCAGCATCTGGCCCCAAAACTCAAATTTCACTACCCCAAAACTCAATTTTTACTTCCCCTTGGGATAGATGCTGATCCACAGGTAAGCTCTTAGGGTGTAGGGATCTTTTCGACCACAGCATCTACTATCCGAAACTCAATTTTCACCTCTCATATGGGTAACTCTCGGGCACGTGGGTGAATTCTAGAACTGTAGAGATCTTTTCAACCACAAAATTCATCAGCATCGAAAAATACATGGGAATAGCATGCTCCGGCATCTGGCATGCAAAATTGGGATTTCCGCGCCCCCTATGGGTAGTTTTTGGACCTCGGGGTCAATTCTAGACTTCTAGGAACTTTTCTGATCTCAGGTGGGATTTTGGATTCAGCGTTAAGAAGTACATAGGAACATCATGGTACCTGTCTCACGGATCTCAACCTTTATTTTTTTGGTGTGGCTATGTTATACATTAGGCAAAGTGGAACTAGGTAGTATCAGGAAATCAGGACTTAAATACATTACTAACAATACTAACTGTGATCCGAGCTGTGATCGGAACAGGTAAAAACAATCTTTTTTGGGATAAAGTGTCAAATATTTCATTTCGAACGCAAAAAATATAAATAAACGCAACAGCTATGCAATGGGCTACACAAGCAACCAAAAACTATTTTATATCGGTAGTCTTAGTCGCAATGAGCGGAAGTGTGAACCTTTTAATTTCCAGAATAACACTAATTTTGATTGATAGTTAATGGCAGGACAATAATCTCAAACTATGAACAACAATCTGACATATAACAACAGCTATAATAACTGCAACCATTCTTAGATTTAGACCTACCTTTCCAGAATGAAACACTTCTGCTGATGACTCATCGGCTTCAACTGCATCAACGGCAGCACTTGCGTGTTAGCACTGGTGGCCTTCTCCACTTCCTTGGTGGTCATCTTCTGAGCCACGCCTTTCTTCCTTGCCTCCGTCTTCCTGGGTCTTCCCACCCTTCCCGGATTCTTTTGCGCAGGAGCTTGTTCGGGAAGTTGACGTACGCGCTGAGATTTGCCGCCGATCACGCCGCGGCACATGTCGCTGCCGCATTTGCATTCTTGGCCTTCGGCGGTATTGAACAGGGAGAAGTTGTAGTCGTATGTCAGCTCTTCACCACCCTGGAAGCAAACATTACATAAATTAATTTGTTCGCATCTGTCAAGTAGGAAGTAGTATGTAAGTTCGGAGGGCACCGCCTCCGACCTTTGCCTTTTTGCAACGGGGTATCGCAGGGATCAGTACTCGGCCCCCTGCTATTTCTGATATACAGGGTGACTTCGAAGTTGAGTCATTTATTTTAACAGTGAATAGATCTGATCAAAAGAAATGTTTTTTTCCTTTACCATTTTTCTGGTAAAATTAAAGTAACAAAGTTATAGCCCTTTGGAAGTTTGAGTACCGCCCTGTCTCAATAATATCATGTACTCGTGTTTGGCAACAACGGATATAATCCACCTTATCGGTTCATCGCATCGGAAACAAAAAAGCGAAAGAATTTGGAACGATGTTTATTTTATTCAGTTCAGTTATACATACAGTCTGTGTCAGTCGCGTGTGAATAGTGTCTGTTGCGTGGCTCAAACGAAATAAAAAATGGCACATGTTTATGCGGATCGGTTTCCCAATCGAGTGCAACCAACCCCTCGTGCCTTTGTTAATGTAGTACAACGGGCTCGTGAATCAGGTGACTTCAGAACTCACAGGGGACCTCACGATCAAATACAGGTCCGCACTGAAATACTTGTCGGGAGGATACTTTATAAAACAAGGTAAAATTTTTTTTTATTTTTTTTTTTATTTTTACACACATATTTTGGTTTATCTTCCTTCTACAATCATTATCTGAAAATTAATGACTCAACTTCAAAGTCACCCTGTATATTAATGACCTGCCCTCAAGTACTGATAACGTATCCAGCTTCCTTGATGTCTAGGCCTGATAGAAAAAACTGTGTGAACAGTATAAAACAAGCCAAAAGTTGATTTTTAGCCAATAAGCTATCCCTGAACGAAAACAAGACGTACCATATCACATTTAGCTCTGGCAGGTGGGTTGTGAAATCTGAACCAGTAAAACTTCTAGGAATAGCATTCAATGCAAGACTAAACTGAACATCCCACATTGGTCATTTACGTTGTAGGCTGTTTATACAAATATTTGTTCTTAGCAGATACCTCAATAACAGTACTGTGCGGGTAACGTATTTCAGCATGTTCGATAGTCACATTACAGTGCTCTGAGGGAACTCAGTAGCCTTTAGCAAAATTTTCATGTTACTAAAAACGGCGTTGAGGATAATCACAAATTGCAGTTATGGATCAACGTGCAGAAATCACTTCTAAAATCTACAAATATTAATACTTCCATAAATTTATATTTTTGAAGTATTATGTTATGTGCATAGAAATCTAAACAAATATCAAACCTTTGCAGAAATACACATATCCATGAACTATGTAGTGCAAATTACCTATGGAATTCATACTCGCGACTGAATATAACTAAGAATAATATACCTAATGTTAAATTATGTAATTTATTCGTCAATGCAAATAAAGAACATAATTTTCAAAATATGTCTATTCGCTGCTTCTCAAAGTTTGATGAAGTGTCCATTCTTGACTTTGGCCGCAAGAAAAATACTGCTATCATTTTTTTCTTACTGTGCAAGTAATTCAATAGCCCTATATCACAGTGTAGAAGTTTATGATATAGCTGTGTATGAAATTCACAATGGCCGATATGTAGGTAAACATGATGACTGTATAATGTGTTAGTTATATATTCTTCACTTCATCTATTCAATACATTAGAAGTAGTTTGGTTGCAATAAAGTAGAATCACGTAACAGAATAGTTGTTTAGTTGACAAGAACAGAATCTTGCACTGACGCAAATGTCCTATAGCGGCTGCAAGAGGCTTACACGTTTTGTATAACTGTTACCTGCAGCCCTTATACTACCTCTTAAATGACCGAAGTGTCCTATTAGGTGTGCCCATTCCGCTTGTATAGCTGTTCTAAGAGGGTTTTGCCACAGTATACAATGCAGTGTAAGGAATACTGTATAATCATTCTTGCAACTCTAATAGGAGTGATAATTGTTAGTTGGGTATTTAACTCAGTAGACGTCAAAACAGTGATGGATACTAGTGAAATGGGGTTTATTTAATCACTAACCTGTATATCCCTCTGAGCGAAGAGCGCCATCCTAAACTGGCCGTTGACAGACCACTTTTGCATCTCGCAATTCGGTTGACAGCTGTGATTGACGAACCGTCCATCGCCTCCCATTCTGTGACCGTCGATGACAAGACCTCCATCCAGGTGAAGGCAGTAGTGGTGCGTGTCGTTGACGTAGATCGAGGCCATACGTCGTTTGAACTCATCGTCGGACACAACTTCGCCGACGTACTCCAGGATGAATTCGCCGCATTTTATCGCTTGGTTGGTTCTCACGCCCCAACCTGTAAGACACAAATTAGCAATAAATGATGACGGTACGCTTTATACTTGTAACAGCTCTGCACGTAGGAATATTACCAAGGTGACAGTCGAATGTCCACACGTGACTAAACACGATAGACACTGTGAATTTTTCGGCTCTTTTGCTATATATTTCAAAACTCCATAAAAATACTAGACTAGTAAATTATAAGCACAATCACTTGTAAATCATATATTGTTCCACATATCACCGACTGTACTTGTAAGAAACGATATCCTGAAAGTGCAGCACTGTCAAAACGGCATTTCGTGATTGTGTTAATTTGTGAAAGTGTAACGAAGCACAGAAACATTTTAATCCGTGAATTTAGCCACAAAATAACAAAATCACATCCATATCTGTAGAAAAATAAGACTGGCTGTCCACTAAGATCGATCCAAAAAAAGATGGGGAAGATGCGTTTGCATTAATTTTGAACAACCTCCTCGTCGTCGCATAATTGAATATAATACTTTTGAAGACGGTACTGAGAGGACTTTCTTAAAATATGAGCCAACCAGGGGCCAGGACTTCCCCGAAAAAGAGCGCCTAGTTTGAGTATTGTGTGAAGAAAAATCACTTAAAAATAGGAAAATATCATTACGATGAATAAAGACGAATTTCTAAATAAAATTGTGAGGTATATAACATTATTATTGTGGAATGAATCTACAGTGCTTTTATTGAGTCGGTTAAAAAGTAATGACGTAATATCTGATGATGTCGATTGAATTCAAATTATACATACAGGGTGATTCACAGGTCGTGTCCAGAAATTAAACATCATGCACAGGACCACATTTTAAGGGGTCTTCGATGTAAAATGTTTTCCTCGAGGGCTTCATTAAATGTTAAAGTTTAAAAATAAAAAAATGGATATCTTCAAAACCGTCAACTGGAATGAATTAAAATTTGGTATGTGGATTTACCTAAGTATTGTCCACATTCAAGTCTTTACTTAAAATTAACGTGAAGCAGTGGCGGAGGTACAGGGGATTGGAGCCATTATTTTTCCAAATAAAAATAGTACGCAATTGTCTTTTCTTGAAAACGCGCAATTCTTCGAATTTTACCTTCAATTTGCTACAAATAATTAATCTTGTTTCTTTCATGGTGTTATAGTAAAATTAGAAAAAAAAACAAATTAGATAATCAAAGCTTTATTTCAATGAATGTTCAAAGAGCTCACCATCCTGACGGATACACGTGCGGCATCTTTTTACTAAAGAAAAACGTATTTTCGCAAAATTTGTTGTGGCTTGAATTTGATGGAAAGCATTATCTATTCTTTCTTGTAAGTGATCATCATATTAATATGTTCAGCATACACTACTTGTTTAAAAGCGCCCCACAAAAACAAATCCAGGGGATTCAAATCAGGCGATCTCGCAGGCCAATTCATCGTTGTCTAAAATGATTATTTAACCTTGCGATTATGTCACGACGGACATGAGGTGGGGCACCGGGACATAATCACTCTATAGGAAAAAACACAACAGTAATTATTTGCATAAAATTGAAGATAAAATTCGAAAAATTGCGCGTTTCGAAAAAAAAAACAGTGATGTACTATTTTTATTTGGAAAAATAATGCCACTAATCCCCCATATCTCCGACACTGATGCACGATAATTTTAAGTAAAGACTTTTGAATGTGGACAATGCTTATGTAAATCCACATACCAAATTTTAGTTCATTTCAGTTGACGGTTTTGAAGATATTAAAAAAATTGGTATTTATTTTTTAACTTCAACATCATCTTTTTAATGTTAAATAGAAGGGTGGTCTCTTAAAATGAGGTCCAGTATATAATGTTTCATTTTTGATCACGACTTGTGAGTATACTGAAATGAGTATTATTTTTTGAAAAAAAAAACAGGGAGGTGGGAAACAGGTTCTGTGAAAAAAACATATTTACATGGAAACTCAAACATATTGTATAACTTTCTTATTTGTATTGATACGTGAGTATGAGAAAAAAAATAAACGTAAAGTACCAACTTTTAAACTCCAAGATAAATCTAATAAAAAATTAGTAATATGTTCTACTGGTATAATTTCACTTTCAGTCATCTTCATTATTCGAAGATGAATTAAATATTTTAGATAAAAAAAGGCGTTCAGCACCCAGTCTATTACGCAGCTTACTTTGTATTAAGCCAAAAGTGGAAAAAGGTATTTCTACACCTGCTGAAGATACTTGATATTGACAATTTTATCATTTTCGCTGCGGCAATAGCATTTTTTTAACTTTTTTTTTTTGAAATTTTACGATTGTTGGCAATATACCATATCAAAATGAAGTCACTATATCTGATGAAAAAGGGCGTATTTAAGGTGCTGCGATAGTGAGGTGTTTTTGACAACAGGTAATTAAACTAAAGCGAAAATTAATTTTGATAATTACAAAGAACGTTTGTGAAAAAATGTATATGTTGCAAATACGAGGGATGTCTTTTAAGTTTTGCATATGGAAATAAAACAACACGGTAGGTATTTTTAAATGACTATTGTTTTTCGAAGTATTCTCCACGAAGATTAAAACACATCTGCATGCGCTCGAAGCAATTTTTGAAGCATTTATTCCACTCGTTTGCTGGCAGATCCAAAACGGCATTTTTGAACGCGTCAACTACTTCTGTTGGTGACTGGAACCTTTGACCACTCAGTCTGTTTTTAATTTTCGGGAAAGTAAAGAAATCGCTAGGACTTAGACCGGGACTATATGGAGGATGGTCCAATAATTCCACCTTTTCTTCCGTTAAATACTGCTTTGTTTTTTGGGCTGTGTGCGAGCATGCATTGTCTTGGTGGAGGATGATTCTTCTTTCGGGGTTGATTTTTCGAAGCTCGGCGATCACTTTTGGCAAACAAATGCTGGTATGCCAATCCGCAGTAACAGTTCTTTGCTCATTAAGGGGAATTGTTGCAATATGACCCGCTTTTGACACAAATGTCGCGACCATCTTTTTTGAAACACCTCGAGAACGGATGACTTTTGTTGGCTTTTCTTCACCTTGGAACACCCAAACAGCCGACTGTCGTTTATTTTCTGGTTCATAACAGTAAATCCACGATTCATCACCACTAACAATGCGGTACGCATTTTTTGAGTTTCAGGAATTGAAACGGTCAAGCGTTTTTTGACACCAATTAACCCTGACTGCTTTATGCTCTTCAGTCAACAGGTGTGGTATCCAACGAGAAACTAATTTTATTACTCCTAATTCTTCATGATAATTTTTTGATTTGAGGTCTTTGAGATCTTCAAGGACGTCTCAGTCTTGCGAAATGTCACAAGTCTATCTCCAATGATCAGTTTGCGCACAGCATCGACGTTTTCCTGGGTGACTGTCGTTTTTGGTGCACCCACCCTGGGATCGTCGCTAAGACTCACCCGTCCACGTTTGAATTCTCCATATCAACGGGAAATTGTCGACTGATGTGGCGCTTCGTTTCCGAAAACAGACAGTAACTCAGCAAGGCATTCTTGTTGCGATAATTATCTCTGAAAGTTGTAACAAATTATGGCGCGAAAATATTCTCGGTTGAGTTCCATGTTTCTACTGACTTGGTGACACTTAAAAACTCACTATAGGTTAAGATTCAGTACTGACGTTCGATCCGCGCGGCCTACTATGTTTCTATATGCAAAACTTAAAAGACATCCCTCGTACTGTTTTTCTTTAAAAAACAGGTTAGTTTAAATCGTGGTTTAAACCAGGTTAGTTTCTACCAGCCAACTCTGCACTATAAGAAAGATGTTATGATATCCTACCTTTGTCCTCGGTCATGAACTTCTCCAAAGCCGGCGCCCACTCATGTCTCTGTATCCTTTGGTTCTTACACCGATGCCCCACAGCAGGTGGGCACTCTGACAAAACCAAACGATTGATGCAGTCATCACCGCATCCCAACGTGGTAGTATTTCCAGTACTGCCGGACGGAGCGCGACAGTTGCAAGTCTGCGATTCGCAGGAACCTAAAGTTGTGGTGGATTTCTCTGTGTACACATTTGTGCGGATCTTGCGGTAGTTCCAGGATGGTACTACATCGCGGCCTGAAAAAAAATCACGAGGTTATGGCTTGAAAGAACGACTGTGTGAAATCCGCAACGGCCTCCGTGTGCATTCTAATGTCGCTTTTACAACATTCGGGTTTCTTTGTAAAAGCGCAGGTATATCGACCATGTGGGTTACAATCGTTTGAAATTCAGTTTATATTTTTATCATATAGGAATATACGCTGCGGTTCTTGAGATACAAAGGGTATAAAAGTTTTGTAATATGATTATTATGTGATATGAACAAACGGGCGCAGGAGACTGCATGTTGAGACATGTCCATGTGTGCATAGTAGCCGGCAGCAGCACGTCTGTTAATTTCGTTGTTCATTCGTGTTGACAGTGTAAAGTGTGGAGTCTGGCATCGTCGTCATGTAGTGAGATAAGGGCAGTATAACTTTACGCGTGGTTTTAGCATAGACCAGTGCTTAGAAAGAATGACGCTTGCATTGAACAATGATTGTCCTCATTGTACGACTGTATTTAGGTTTTTGCAGAGAATTCCAAAGGGGCAATTTCACTCTGGAGGACGTTGAGAGGGAACGAAGGCCGCGAACGTCAGTAACAGAGGAAAACATTACTGTTATGAGGAAAATGCTTGACGAAGACCGGAGAGTGACATACCAACAGATACAGGGGACCTTAAACCTTCGTGCACCAGCAATTCATGCAATTCTGCATGACCATTTACTAGTAAGGAAACTCTGTTCTCTCTGGATACCGCTTAATCTGACGGAAGAGCAGAAGGCTCATAGTACGACTTGGTGTCGAAAGACGCTGAAAATGTTTGATAAGAGACAGTCTCTGTATGTGATCAGCATCGTGTCAGATGACGAGACTTGGCTCTATTATTACGATGTGCCGACCAAGGCTCAAAACAAAGTATGGGTCTTTGACGATGAGGACACACCCGTAGCTGTCAGAAAATCCCAATCTGTTAAGAAAAAAATGATAGCTATATTTTTCCAATCGAGCGGGATTGTGGAGCATGTTATTTTGGACTGCCAGAAGACAGTCACAGCTAAGTGGTACACGTAACAGTGCCTGCCTAAAGTCATACAGTCTATGAAAAACCTGCGGCGAAAGTCTAGAATGGAGACTTCGTACCTCCACTATGACAATGCTGCAACTCACCGCGCCAAAGCCTGCACCGAGTATTTGACCACTACTGGACTGAAACTTATTGAGCTCCCTCCGACTTTGCACTGTTTCCGCATGTGAAAATGACGCTAAAAGTAAAACGGTTTTCTAGCGATGAGGACCTTCTGAGAACTTGGAACAACGAGTGTGCCGCACTCCCGTGTGAAACTTGGCAGTGCTGGTTTAAGGACTGGTTTTAGCGGATGAAGAAGTGTATTGAATTTGGTGGAAATTACTTTGAACGAAGCTGTATCGCAAAACTTGGTGTTCATCTTGGATAATAAGAGGCAAATGCAAAATAAATTCAAGATCAAATATAAGTCAAATGTATACCAATGCAAAGACTGGTTATGTCGTAACATTCAGGGGCTAGAAAAACTATCGAAATAAGACAGCTCGAAGCACCATCTACCACTAGAGTCAACCACTGCGAATAGTGAATACCCGGTACCGGTTGGGGCTGTATAGTTACCGCGCGACCGCTAGATGGCAACGATTCAAGCGGCGTATTAAATGTGGTCTACTTGCCATTGAACTAACTAAACATGCTGCTTTCGGCCGCCCGACCAAAAACAGCCAATCATTTGCTAGCCTCGGGTTCGTTGTGCGACAAACCAAGCCTATACCATGCTGATGAGTTGCCAAAAAACACGAAACACCTGTCCACGGTTGGCGGTTTTCGTCGGACAGTTGGAAACACCATACTTAGCTAGAAAAACTATTAGGGTAGTATTTGACTATGGCTTACTGTAGATCTAATAACAGTTTTGTACCTCCCGTATTTGATGATGCAAAATTTCAAACTATGCATAAACCGGTAGAAAGCTAGTTGACATGGACCGGCACCCATTTCAAGTAAAATAATCGCTATGGTAACCAACATGCTTGTAACTTGTGGACTTGCTAGTCGTTAGCAAACACCATGCCTACTCGCTATGCACGCCACCTTTGGAGGAATAGCACAACGAGCTATACTATAGAACACGCAGTTTAGGTCACGGACGAGATGGACGGCCTCCGATAGTGCTATCTCTGGAAGCAGATGTTACATCACATCATAGATGCAGCACATATCTCATCTATATCATTTTTGAAGTTTAGGCAACACAAACATCTACTACAAGCGAATATGAGGTGAACGATGGCTAGTTCTAAAGTAACAAATATGGCGATAAGATCACTATTTCTGCCATTTTGCAGTTTTGCAGAAAGCTAAACACCAGGGCATCGCGGCTGCAATGAGGAGCTTGAATAAACTTTATTATTCAGATTTTTGAACTGCCTAAAGTTAGTAGAATTGGGAAAAGCCTCCCCAGGTAGATTGTTTCACAATCTCTAAAACCTAGAAGGAACGGTCGAATCGGCCAGTTCTGGATGTACGAAGTTCGACGCTGCAGGTAATAATTCTCTTACTGTCCCTGGGGAGGGCTACGTGATATGGTGCAAAACTTTCTGGGAACTCAAATCCAACAATTTAATCTGCAAAACATGTGGTTCCAGCAGGACCGAGCAACCTGTCACACAGCTAGGAAAACAATCTTTTGCAAATAATATTTCTGGAACGTTTAATTTCTCGATTTGGTGATCCACCATGGTCACCGGATTTAACGGCGCCTGACTTTTTTACGGGGATGAAAATTAGGGTTTTTGCCAACAAACCAAATACTGTAGAGCAGCTGAAGAACAATATTACGGAAGCGATTGAAAATATTCCTCCTGAAACCTACCAAAAAGTGGTGGAAAATGTAATCAAGACGGCTGAGGTTTGCGCGGTTTCTAGAGGCGGATATTTGTCTGATATTATTTATCGGCCACCCTGTACAAAGAATCATTGCTTGGTTTGAAATGATCATTTTGAAACAAAAAAATGTCACTCACCTGGCAACTGAGAATGGGTATGCTGCCACCATAGATCATATGGAAGTTGGAATGGTATCTTCCTGCACCTTAGATATTTTCCACAGTGGTAAGGCGGTGGTAAGAGACCATACGGATGCTCTTCTGGATTATACACTAACCTTGATGATTTCTGGGCATTTTCTTGTCTTTTAAGTCTTGCAGTTTCACTGGAAAAAACGTCACGTCAAGTACATTAATGCTGTATTCCACACAGTAGATTATTCCCAATTACAAATATAATCCGTAAAGACGTTTCCCTTTTTGACATTCAAGACGATGATTTACATGAGGTAAATGTCAAATGATGTTATAAATAAGGTTTGCGTATGCGATATTATCCGTTCGTAATTAACTACAGGATGTCCAGTGGGAAAGTTCACATTTCAAATTTGAATTTCGCGGCAACCTTATACGCGAGGAAGTGGGGAGAGGTCTTGATTGACGCGTTCGGCGTGCGGGTTAAATAGTCACAATGGGACGTTGGACCGGAGCGCATCGTGTATTTGCTATCGAGGCTTACTTTAAGAGTGGTGATTCATACACAGCTGCCCTTCGGAAATTTTCTACACGATACAACATTCGCCGACCAAGAGATGCCCCAAATAATAACCTATTGAAAAGTAGATTAAGAGGTTCCGTGAAACAGGCTCTACTCTTAGTCATCCCATTCCTGGCCCCACACCTACTGTATCAACCGAAAAAAATGTGCATCGAGTAAGTGATTCGGTCATTCGGCATTCTGTACGGAAGCCTTGCGCTGCTTTGCGAATCCCTAGGTCAACTCTACATGGCATAATGGAGAAAAAAATGGGTTTTCATCCTTACAAAATCCAATCAGTCCATGCTTTAAAGGAAAGTGATTAAGTATTACGGAAATCTTGTGCTGAACGGATGTTGAATCTTTTTCCTTCGCAGCACAGACTCGAGAACGTTGTTTTCAGTTACAATTCCATTTTCACTTAACGGTTACGTGAACAAGCAAAATTGCCGATATTGGGCATCAACGAACCCAAAAGAGAAATATCAACACAGCTACATAGTCCAAAGATGACTTTGGTGCACCATATCCTCTAGCGGTATTATCGGGCCGTATTTCTTTGAAGATGAAAACGGTCATGCATTGACAGTCAATTCCGAGCGATACAAGGAAATGATTTGACTTTTTTTTTGCTTATATTGTTAGAACAGAAGGTCAATTTAACAGGAACACATGGTTTCAACAGGATGGGGCTACTGCCCATACTTCCAGAGAATCGATTAACACGGTGAAAGCAATTTTTCCTCAAAAAATTATATCGAAGTTTGGAGATATTCACTGGCCTCCTAGGTCACCCGACCTAAAGCCATGCGATTTATTTTTTGTGGGGTTATATAAAGTCAAAAGCGTATTCCAATAATCCACGAACACTGGAGGAGCTTAAAGACAACATTCGACGATAAATAAACAACATCACTCCGGAACTCTGCAAGAGAGTGTTTCAGAATTTGCGCGCGCGATTAGAAGGGACGGGACATTTAGACGGAATGCTATTTAAGAAATAAAACCCGCCAAATTTACGAATATGTTGATAGCAATAAATATTTTCTTTTCATTAAGTTTGTATTATTTTTTTTCTTAAATCAAAAAGTGAACTTTCCCGCTGGATACCTTGTACAGGAAATATCTTTTATTATAGGCCCGGTCTCGACAAGAATCATTATCGGAAATCACATTTTAAATGACTCTCTGGAAAGTCGTGAACTTCCCACTGTTTAATCACTTGTGTTCTGTCGTAATAATACTATTAATTCCGTTGGAAAAAATCCAGAATTTTGAACTCAATTTTCCAGGACTTTTGATATTTAAACTTTATTGCCTTTTACCTAAGTACGGCTGTAGAGACCCGAGGTAGCATAAATGAAAAGATTATTTTTCAGATTATGACAATTCAAACGAGAAGTATGTAGATCAATGCTGAAAATGTTTTGGTAGCCACCTCTAATAGCAGCATTTCGTCATTAAAAGTAGCGAAGGTATACTGGTAGTAATTAGAACCGTATAAATTACTACTATAGCAGCGGTTGTCGCACTTCATCACGATAGTGTTAAGATGTGAATCAAGTTTACTCACTCGTCTTCCTTGTAATAATCCGAAAACAGTCCAGCAACAAGATATTTCTTCCTCCACCTAGGCGCCAGCGACTTCCTGCTTCTCCTCTCATCTCCAGATGCAGAAGCTCGATCTTCTTTCAAAGAGTTGATGTACGGAGATTCCGCGCTACTTGGTCGCCGCTTAGGGTACGTGCCGCTGTCTCTTTCTCGCATCCGTTTCCGCTTCTTGCGCAGTTCCAAACGGGATCGGAGGCGTTCTATGCTGTGAGAGAGGGACAGATCTAGGTCATCGCCGGTTGCTTTGCTTCGCTCACTGTAATATTACATCGGTTCAATTTTTTAATGACAAAACTCGCCAAATTTAGTATAGAATGGCCCTTTTTATACAGGGTGTTCCTTAATGATATGCGGTTATTTAAGGGTGTGAATCTTCATTAAAAATGTTAGTTTGCTTTATAAAATATGGTCCAAAAATGTTTCCTTACAAAAACTCGGGATATCGAAGTTTTAGGAAAAAAAATTGAAGTTAATTAATATTTTCAGATTCGCTTCAGATATTTCACTGATATTTGTAGTGAAAGTTAATAACCTTGCATATTTTTCAATGCAAAAATAATTTTTAGCTTCAACAGTGGCGTGGGTACGGGTATTGACTTCGATATTTTTTAAGAAAAAAAATGGTAAGGCAATGGTTTTTTGCCGAATAAAATTTATTTTTGAATTCCCCGTTCGATTTAAAACAAATGATCTCTCTTGAGTTGTTTTCCTTCGATGCGGCATTTTTGAGTAAAAAAATAAAAACTGTTCTATTGTCTAACTTGCAAAATTATTATTAATTTAATTGGAAAAATTAAACACATTAGGGGTAATGAACAACAACAACTGACAACATAAACATAACATTAAAACCAACGAAAAGATTACAAAAATTGTTGAAAATAGCCCCTTTCCTTAGTATGCATGCTTCCGCCCTCCTCATGGAATTGCGCACTCGTTGAAATATCCCTGGAGTGTTTTTTATTCTATCACATGCTGCTTGCTGCAACTGTTCTTTCTCTTTTCTTACAAAATATCGAAGTCAATATCCGTACGCACGGCACTGTTAAAGCTAAAAATTATTTTTGCATTGAAAAATATGCAACTTTATTAACTTTCACTACGTACTAAAATCAGAGAAATATCTGAATTGGTTCTGAAAATATTAATTTCCATTTTTTTCCTAAAACATCAACACCCCGAGTTTTTGTAAGGAAACGTTTTTGGACCATAGTTTATAAAGCAAACTAACTTTAATTTTTCATGCAGATTCACACCCTTAAATATTCGCATATCATTAAGGAACACCCGGTATAAATCTCTTGTAATTAGTTGGATGTGTGGTCTAAGGAAATGCAGTTTCCTGTTATAAAGTTGCTGACGTTTTATAAAAATGTCTTTCCTTTTTCAAGGATCCTTTTACAAAGGCTACTATAAAAGTTGTTTAAAAAATGAAACGTCAAAATAATACCATTCAAACAAGCAATTACTCCAAACCCCTTGTCGTTTAAAATTTTCAAGGGGATAACAATGGGGGACAGAGGGTGAAAGGGGGTGAAGTAGTTTTTGGTTAAAACGTTGTCCGCTATGACAAACCTTTTGACGCGTCTCGGCGTTTTTTCTTTTAGTCAGTGGATTTCGATAAATCCGTGTATGAAAAATGGCTAAGAAAGCGCTGCGAGCATGCCCAAAATAACTTGCTCTCTGTCTAGGGTTGCTTGGACCAGTTGTATGGCTTCACGTTTAACTCAAACTATTCAGATTTGTTTCTGCAAAACCCGGACATAAATTTTACTCTGCATACGACTGATTCTGGAACGGTAATACGAGAAACACAAATAAACCTGTCTTATACGGACGAATTCTTTAGCTGTAATTGATGCACAGTATGTCTAAGAGAAAGGGTATCTAAGAAAACAATCTTCATGCTTACCTCGATCTGGTATCAACAGAGGTTGCTGGAGACGAGTCCCTGTTCCTCAAAGTCATTCGGTCTCTACAGTCTTCGTCAAACTCTGTTCTTTCGTCCTGCGGCAAACTTTCACACTCGCTCATCGTTTCCCACTGAAAAAGAAAACGCAATAGCAATAAGTATTCCCAAATTATCAAATTTTTAGAAGCAACATCATGGTTAACTTTCCCGATGAATCGCTAATAATAATAATAATAATAATAACCGTCTTTATTATTGACATAAGACATTGACAAAATGGTAAGTGAACATAAGTACATCCAGTGTCAATAAAAGGCGAAGTTCTGTTTGATTAGTACACAGTACCAACAACCTGCTCTTCCACTTAGCCCAGTATCCTCTACGACATATGACATCCGATAAACCGATAATACATACATGTCACTATAAAAGAGGGACATACCTACACACTAACAAAAAAAAAGCAATCATTCATTCATTCATGCGGTGCTACTGTTTTTGCAGCAGTTCCTTTTTAAACATGGCTTTGAAGTTATTATTCTAGAAAATTTTCTGACTAAAATTAATTTATGATAAAAAACAGCAGAGTGGAGGAGCCTACGATTTTCCATATTTAACCAACCTGCATCTTTCAATTTGTGAGATATTCTATGTCTCCTCTGTATACCAAATGCAAGGCGCAAGCATGAGTTTTGAACCAGTTGAACTTTACGACGATACAAGTTAGTTAAGTGTGGGCCGTAAAGCACATCAGCGTAGTTGAATAAAGATAATACTAAAGTATCACATAGCATGATCTTAAGTTTTAACGAGAGAAATTTCCGGCTACCGTAAATAAATTTCAACGACAAATATGCTCTCTGCATAATTTTGTTGATGTGATACTCAAATCGAAGATTACTATCAATCACAACACCTAAATTTTTTACATTGTCCATTATTTTGAGAGTTACACCATTTATCTCAATTTTAATAAGATTCTCTATAACATTTTTATTTTGTCTAGGTCCAAAAACAATTACGTGAGACTTTGATGGATTTATTAAAAGACAGTGGCGTGTGGCACATTCTACAAAGGAGTTTAGCTCATTATTAATGATCAACGAGAAACGATCCATCAATTGTGGGGGGAAGCTGCAATAGATTTGGGTGTCATCAGCGTAAAAATGCACATTACATAGACTAAGGAAGTCCATGAAATTAGATGTATAAATTAGAAATAGGAGTGGTCCAAGTATGGACCCTTGGGGTACGCCGGATTTCAAATTTAAAGATAAAGACTGAACTCCACTTAAAACAACTGTTTGTTTCCGCTTAGTGAAGTAGCACTGAAATAAATCTATAGCGTTTTGAGAAAGACCAATATGATGTTATTAATTGATGGTTTAAAGTGTCAAACGCTCTGCTGAAATCCAGCAGAACAAGAACAGTACACTCGCCACGATCTGTAGCTCTAATTATGTCGTCTGTTACATGAAGTAAATATAGTTATATTATTATACTATATTATACCATATAGTTAAAAATTATTTTTGAAAAGACGACCTATCAATAAATTTACCTTGGAGCTGTCATCGATAGTTCTGTTAATAGAGAGTATACTGTCCTCTGCACACTCTTTGTCTGGTACATTTTCTGTTCGTTCCACAAACTTTGTATATTCCTCTCCTTGTTTAGGCACACGGTCACAAGAATTCGGACGGGGTTCCATTGATCGAGATACAACACTTGCAGACGTTTCAGCAGGTTGTATTTTCTTCTTTTTCTTTTTAACCGTAGGGAAGCCTGAAAAAAGGATGAAACTTTTTTGAGTGAAGTTTCAGCGGCACATCGGTAGTTAATATGGGACAAGATTGGATTCTTGTATGTATTCTAGCTACAAGTTGTTATGATCAATAGATATCTTATTACGAGGGCTAACCAAATATGAGCCAGTCTTTTCCTTTTAATGCTCTCTCGGCGAAGAGAATAACGGCTTGATATACGTTCAGTGGGGATTTAAAGTGGAGGAAAACCGGTTAGTCTCGCTAAAGCAGATTAACTGTAAGCCGCGTCATGTCAGATTCCTATTTGAAGTGCGGTTCTGCACTACTATTTCGCTTGGTCACATATAGCTGCATTAAACCAAAGCAAAATTGGAGAAAATACATTGGAAAACATTTGAATATCCACCTTATGGACTCTGTCGCCGTGTAACTACCACATCGTTTGGTCACTCAAGGAATTCGAAGATTATCACTTTGACGAACACGAATGTACCTGTATGAAAGCGCTATTGCGAGACCAGGGGCCTGATTCTGAATAAGTTTCGACCATTGAAATTCATTTCGATAGCGCCTTGTGACTTGATTTGCTATGATAGTATTGACAACGCCATGTAAATTTGAATATAGAAGATCGATATAAGCAGATATCAAAATTATTATAGCGAATCAAATATCTTGTCATCGAAATTAATTTCAACGGTCGAAACTCATTTAGAATCAGGCCCTAGATCTATTATTTGATAACGGACTGAGCAATTAGAACCAATAGGTATTCTAAAAAAAAGCCGGTTCATATTTCATTCGCCCACATACCTTTGCTTTTAGAAATAATCAAAGGACACCTAGTAGTAGTAGTAGCGGTATTGGAGACTGCCAGGCAACTAGGTGACCTTTGACCTCTTTTGCCGACCACGTAGTACCAACTGTGTACAAATCCACAAGCCTACTGGTAACTGTTTATTAACAACGATTTGGTGCGTAATATAGACAACACACCACACAACATCTATGGCTCGGTATTAACTTCCGATGCGGAGATTCGAACCCGCGACGCGCTGGTCAACCGATTACTCGACTACTCAGGTCTCCTATCAAGCGCCAAAATATTCTTGAAAAAGCCCATATAATATCTTGGTTCCAAAAATACCCGGTATATTAACCAACAATTACACTTACCCGTTCTATTGATAGCCCGCCTCTTTCTGACCTTCTTCTTCGACTCTGGAGTCAACTTCAACGTCTCTTCGTTGCCCTCAGACACCTTCGTCTCCTCCTTCACAGCAACCTTCTTTTCCTCAGCCACTGCCTTAACTACCGTACTCCTCTTAGCCTTCAATTCCGATATATAAGATTCTATGCTGATCTTCGGTTTCGCTTTTTCTTCACTAACAACATCCTGTACATCCTTCACCAAAGAGGGCGCCTTTTCCGCCGCGTTTGCCATTTCCAATCTATGACGCTTCTTAGGCGTAGTTGCCGTTATGGAATTATTGCTTGTATTCACTTTGTCATCACTGGTTTCTGTCTTAGGTTCTACTTTCTCATCAGCAAACTTATTAATACACGCTTCTATAGCTTCATCAATATGACTAACCACAACTTTAACCTTTGTTTCTTTAGATTCATATTCATTATTATTAATACTGGCTGCTTTAACACTGGTATTCGATTTAATAACGGGCACATACTTAGCATTAACTGGCACCTTCTGAACCTCCGCCTTCGGAGTATTTGTGACAACTTTAGATTTCGTCTTGCCTTTGTCACCTTTATCATCTTCAGTCTCCATCTTAGTTACGTTGTTAGCAACCTTCGGTTTGACTTTAGCCTTATCACCTTTGATTTCTTCCTCAGTTTCTGTTTTCATTTCAATGTCAACTTCACTCTTGTTATCATTGTTGCTCAGAAGATGATAGTGTCTTTTCTTCAACGGCAACCGCTGGTCATTGCTACTCACTTTAGCGACTGTGGTGCTTACGCTTTGCTTCTTTTTCTTTTTTTCTGAATATTCCGCTGTTTTTCGTTTCTTCGTGACCTTCTTCAGCGTTTTCAGGAACTGTTCAGGAACATTTTCCTTCGGTTGTTTAGTAGCTATCGCGCAACATTTCACGAAATCTGCAATCAACTTATCTATTTCTATATTGATCTTAGGGCTGTTTTCACCAATTGGCTTCAGAATCTTGAACTTGTATTTTTTGTGTTTCTTGTGCTTGTGCTTGCTATGCATTAGTTTGGGTACCTTTAAGGTTTGATACTTCGCTTTAGTTTCTAACTTATTTTTTGTACTAAGCACTGGTCTCGTTCTCACTTTACTTTTAGCAGTCTTTGTTTGCTTTTCTAGGATTGATGTAGCTTTGTTTTCAACAGGTTTAACCGGTTCAGTAGATACAGATGTTGACGTAACAGGTTGTTTTGACCTGACTGTCCTCCCAGGAGGTTTCTTGTTAGCAGTAGTCCTACCTCCTTTCCTTCTGGGAGGATAAAGAACCTTATCTGAGTTAGCGTAGATCATTCTATCAAAACGATTCGCTGTGACAGCCAGTTTGTTGTTGGGCGCAGATGTTTTGTTATTGAGGGTTGTTGCAGGCACTTTATTGTTAGTCGGAGCTGGTTTAAGTACGGTAGCTTTGTTGTTTTTGTTATTGTTATTGCTTGTTGATTTCTCGTTTCTTAGATTCTTTGCTGGGGGTTTTTCTACTTTTTTGGGTTCTTCTTTCTGAGGCTTCTGAAAAAGAGGTTTAACGTTATATGAAACAATGAAATAGAAAAGCAAACACAAAAGACGGCAATCCAGGAAGTTATAACTTTTATGCTGTAGATGATCTCGGGCGAATAATGTCAAAAAGTCCAAGAACGACAGACAAGGTTGACACAAGGAACTTAGGTCATGTCCAATAACAGTCGTAGAGCTTCGTTCCTTCAACAGGAGTTAGTGTGGCTAATAATTTATGTAAATTTAGTAATAGCTTGGGAACTGTATTATTCGTTAATATGAATCTAGAAATGAAGGACCTTCCTTATAAATTCCATAGGTTGTCAGCATAGTTGGTTCATGCTTAAGTGTACAATTTATCATCTACTGTAATGGCATCAAAAGGGCGTAGATTTTGTCAGAAACTTTAGTGAGACATTTGGGATATAATAGCTCTTCATAGGTATGTATATGATATACAGGGAAAACCAAATTTGTCTAACGGCTTGAGTCTATGTGTACGAGAGAGAAGAGCCAAGGTCATCACCGCATTGTCTAGCGAAGATCACGCAGAAGGTCGTGCGATCTGCCGTGTCGCCAATATGTTACACCAGAAAATGTTCGAACAGGCTTCTACAATAGTTTAGGTTATTGTCAAACACAAGGAGGAGGTCTGTCAGAATATTTAATTTAATATTTTGTTATAATTTTGATTTGAGTTATTTATTTCAATTTTGCTGCGACTTAGTGTTTTAATTTATTTTAGAATTATCTTTAATTTCCACTGATGGTGATAATATCTACTCATCCGGTCGGAAAGTGTAACAAAGACCATTATGCAATATAAATTATCACTGCCATTTCAAAGCACGTCGACACACCCTACGAGCGCTAGATGGGAACTGGCTAAAATCGCTCAACTATGGTCATGGAGGTGGAAACCTTGCCTTGGAATGTAAAACGAATCAATGATGCAATTTTGCAGAATTTGTGGCGGTCCTGACGTTTCATTTCAACCTAAAATAGAGCGCCGTCAGGACCCAACCAGAATCAATCCTAAACAGATTCGACACAATTCACAATTCAAAAATGTGTAAGTTCAAAATAAAACTATTATTTGGACACAGAGAATAAACTAACGCATATTTTCAACATGCATCTTAATTCAAGGCATTGATATAACATACTGTCACCACGGCAGATTGCCGCGTCAGCGTTGCTTCGCGACGCGGTGGTGAGCTTCGCGATCTAGCCGGCTTCTATCTCTTTCTAACATATGTGTCTATACACACTTCTCTCTGGTACACATTGAACTCATGTCGTCAAACAAATTTGGTTCTCAGTGTATGCCAGTTATCCCAGGTAAGTGTAACTTCAATTTTATACGGAAAAATGCTCAATTTTATACGGAAAAATGCTCCATATTTACTGTTTAATTTTTTTTTTCTAAAGTTTTCATTTAAATAAACGTATTTTATCAGAAATCAAAGTTAAAAGGATTATCGCTAATTATTTTATCTCTGAAGCATTTTATAAGGATAGACTTACTCTAGAGTTAATTTATAATATTTTGTACTGAAGGGTATTATATCGTTGTTGCTACTATACATAATTTTATTGATAATGTTGACTATAAGGAAAATTGTTGCAATTAGATACAAATATTTTGTTTATGATAGTGAAGGCAAGGAATTCTTAGTAGTTTATAAAAATCTTTGTAATTGTATATTTCTTTTATAATTAATTTTAGCTATCTGTTATACTTTTCTTTAACAATGTTCTATGCCTCGGCTTATGAATAAATAAAAAATTATCTATCTATCTATACTATCCCATATATACATATATAAATAAACCAAGTTATCCCATTAAATATGTCGAATAGATGAATAGAATTACCGGGGTTAGAAGTGAATTAATATATGATTAAAATATTGCGATACATCCTTCACCATCACCTAAAAAAACCAGCTCCTAATTTTTAACCTGATAGCTCTTTTCAAAAATGAATAGGATCCTCTCAAAACGTCAAAAAACGAAGTCCGACAGGCAGAAAGACCGACTAAAATGAACATGATCTCATTTCGGAAATTTTTCGCGATTACAATACTACATACCTCGCCAGTAGGCGTAAGAAGTAGGAGTGATGACTCACATTATACACAATGGGTAGTGTTTTAATTTTTAGTTGTGGGATCTGACAAAAATCCTTCTACAATTTGTTGGTGGCGTATGGAGTCGACTGCATGCCGAAAATCACGCGTATTTTGAACCGGCAAAGAGGATGAATTGGTAAAAGACGAGCCACATGAGGGAGCTCCGTTACCATTCGTACAGTCAATCATTTGCATGAACTTTTCACGTCTACATCATTTCCCATCAGCGCTTAAGCAGTCGTTGCTTGCGAGTTAAACATCAACAAAGAAGCGGATTACAAAATGTTAAACGACAATTTGAATATGCCATAGATTTTTGCAAACATGTTCTCATCTCTATTCCAACCGACTTCTCGTTCATTGTGCAAATGCACTTGACAAAGAAAGAAATTCTTACGTGGCCGCGAACACTGTATAGTCCTTATAATTATTATTATGTGTCTTTATTGATCTTTTAAATTACAAGTTTGATATATAAGTAAAGAAAGGGGGGCGGTATTCAACCAGGTTGCTCTTCCATACAACCCCCAGATATTACCCCTTGCCACATTTGTTGTTCCTTCTAAATTCAATTTCACCACAAAATAGAAGTGTTTTACCACAACTCCTGTTTCGAAAGTTAAGACGTTATACACCAATATGCGGCCAATAAATGTTCTGCCAGGGGGTGAAAAAGTATTTTAATGTATCGAGGGACATAGGGTTTGAAACTATTCACAGGGAGAAATTACTTACAAAATTGCATCACTATGGATTTTAAGGATCTGTATTCAAAATTTTACGAAAAAAGGTGGTAAACTAAGTCCACTACTATTTATTTTATACATAAATGGCATTTGTAATATTTTAGATTATTGTAAAATTCAGATATTTTCAGATGATACATTAATATACATGACAGATGAAAATATAGACACTGCTTTAAAAATGCTAAATTCTGACTTGGCAAAAATAAATTGGTTAAATGTGAATAAACTAAATTTGAATGCTTCTAAAACAATATATATATATATATATATATATATATATATATATATATATATATATATATGCTAATACAATCACAGTTGGAATAAATGTTGAAATAATTGGAAATGATGAATGCATTAAATGTTTAGGTACATATATTGATAGTAAACTAAAGTTTGAGGATTACTATGAATACATTATTTCAACAAAGAAACAAATTACTTTTATAGGGAGCCTCATAGTTTAGTACTTTTTAAAAAAAATAGATTATAATACAATTATTCTAACGCATTTGCTATATATTGTTCAATTATCTTGTTCACTGCCAATGAAGCTGTATTCTCAAAATTACAAGTCCTGCAAAATAAAACTATGACAATGATATTGAATAAAACTAAGTTCACTAAAATAAAATCTGGTACAAGAATTGCAGTGGGTGAATATAAAAAATTTCATATCATATTTGGTTCTTATTTTGATATTTAAAATAACTTGAATTTAATAAACTAATTATATAAAATCTAATTGTAAGTTAAAGATGAAAATTAAAGGAATATTTCATGGACAGTGAAGATTCGTAGAGATGCAAATTTGTTTTTCTAAATATTTTCTAAATATCTATATGTTATGTAATTATTGTAATTTTTTAAAAGAATGTAATTGTACCAATCATTCTAAATAAATCTTAAACAAACAAACAAAAAAGTTGCTTCAAGTTGTGGAAGCAACTTTGGAATCCAAACTTAATTGAAATACCTACATGTGTAGTACAGAACTAACTACGTCTGAAATATTAGTAAAGCAGCACCGGAAACGTGAAAAAGAAATTGAAGAAAGAGACTATTCATTTGGTACGGCATTTTAAGTAATGTCATATTTTGTTTGAAATTACTGCTTGCTGTAACTGTTCGATTCAAAAACACGAGTTTGTTTAGTTCCTCCTAAATTTGTAACATTTGGAGCTGTCTATGGCTTGTGATGTGTCTACCCACGCGGCTTTTGCAGGGTATTAACAAACCTAAGCAGCTCTGATGGAAACATCGAGGATGACGGCGAAATTCTGAGTACTCGAATGCACTCGCGGGATATCAATATTATCTTGAAGACGCTCATAGTAAACTAACATGAAATCGATAACTACGTTATTTCTGCAGAAACTTGCTAGTTTTGGTTTTCAAATGCTGTCTACTGTTTATATACTAGGTTAAAATACCTCGCGTCATAGTACCACATAACATTTTTCAGAACTAAATACCTTGGTTATTTTAAGGCCTTACTATACGTGTATATACTTGCTTTGGTGTTGAAAAAATATGCTCTAGGGCTTGCTCCCAGCCTCTCTGCCTTATCACATTTTCGAGAAAAAAAGAAAAGAAAAAACGAAAGTTTGACTTCGGCCATACTTGAAAGAAGGTCAAAGAACGATCCTGCCTATAGCTCTGGTCGGTATCAGACTTCCTTTTCAGTTAACAGTATGCTTTGACTTGCAAATGAAATGATTCAATGTCGACCAACAGCGCTATTCGTAGTTGCAATAGGGAACCTTTTTTTATTGCTGCAATGGGTAGTTTAAATCACGCAGACCTATGTATAAGCTGAGATACTAGAATCTCATAAAAAGAAAAATTCTAACCTTCTGGGTGACATTTGGCGACATGGTCGGCTCCGGACTGGACACATGGTCCGGACTATTCTGAATCCCTGAATCCGGCGACACGTTCGGATTCGTACAATACTCCTGCGCCTTCTCAGGTACCACCTTGGTCTCCCTCTTCGGTCTACCTCTCCTCTTCCTCCCGTTATCTTCCTCCGCCTTCTTGCTTTGCGTTTCGCCATTGCTGGATGGCAGCACCGGGGGTTTCAAAGCTTCCGTAACTGGTATGGGAGGACAGGGCGCGTTCAGCATTTGAGTTTGAGCGACGAACTGTTGGAGGAGGCTGTTGGCGTAGAGGCTGCTTGGTGGAGGAGGAGCGTGAGTCTCCCCTTCGCTGGAGCTTTCGGTTGTACGTTGGATCAGGGCGTTGACGGCTTGTTGGGGAAGCTCCATGTCGCTACCTGCAAAAGGCGGATGGAGTCAGCGTCAGTCAGTCATGTTTGAAATGCAGAACAGCGAGACTAAGAGGTCTGATGTTTGAAATTATTAAATTATCCATCAAATGCTTTTAGAATTGTAAGTTATGAATGATGTTCGTTGCCTTTGCAAACAAAAGTTTGTTTACTTACTTCACTGAGAGTTGATACTTATTTGTTTTGAACTTTTCGCTTTAAGATGTCGTATAGATTAGAAATAAAAAAAATATCTACAAGTTGGTTGGGCGGGTACCCAAAGCTGGAATCTGTCGAATATTACAAAATGAAAACATTTCACTCAGAACCATTTATCGAGCAACAGCGGAATGCGAGCAGGGAATAATACCATGTCTGAATATCCCAAAAAGCGGGAGACCACAAGCATTTACTGCACAGAGGTCAGAGATTGGTGAAAATAGCTAAAATTAGGTTGGCATGTTAACAAGGAGACTGGCTCGTCAATAAAGAGTGCGATATCGTTGGAATTGAGGAGGAATGGTCTTAAATATCGAAAGAAACTCGTGCCCCAAATACTCTCAAGCGCAACTCGTTCGTATACCAAGATGGTGTCCTCAGTTGAGGGGGTACACTTTGCCAATGGAAAAATCATTATTTTAGATGACGACGAGTATTTCACTTTGAGAAATTCTGAAATGAAGGGAAAAGATGGATTTTATACGGACAACGTAGAGGAATGCCCTGGCAATGTTAAGATACAAACATAGAGCGAAATTTGCAGATAAAATCCTTGTCTGGTGCGCAGTTTCTAGCAGACAACCTTTTGTGGGAAGAATAAGAGGCTTTACTGTCTGGGAAGGTTTGTCATGGAGACTGGGAAGCCTAAGATGAAGAACAATTAGGACAGCGAATTCACGGAAAACTAAGAAAAACTGATTTGAATTCCGTTGAGGCCCTCATGAGAGACATTCGAAGAAAGCTGCGTCTGGTAGAGCAGAATGGGCCACTTCACATAATTCGATAGTAAATTAAGTATTGAGTTGACCAAATAAAAACTGAAAGAAAAAAATCCCTTTTTCACCATTTGTGTCAAAATTGTCTATTTTCCATGGTCTGGCAAATCAGTTTCTTCTTCGAATTTCGATGAGTTCCTGTTTCCTGTTAGTGTCATATGTCTGTTACATAGTTCAAACAAAGTGTTGCAGCATCAGATCAGTTAAGAAAAGCGCAACAGCATCAAAATGCCCTTAGAGTAATTCAATCAGTGTCAACCAGATGGAATTCAAAATATTTTATGTTAGAGCGATTTATTAAACTCCATGAATATGTGGCTGCTATTTTAATAAGAAATCCCAAGTATCCAGAAATGTTAAGTGCTTTAGAATTGGAAACAGAAAAAGAGGTTTTAAGTATTTAGTCCCAGTAGAGGCAGTTTCTAGTGAGATGTGTGAGGAGAATTATTTAACCTGCAGTAAAGTTATACCCATTGTAAATTGCCTCTTGAAAAAATTTTAGCTTTAGCTCTTAAAACACTAACACTCGAGGAATTTTTAAAACGTTTTGGCAGCACCGAGCAGATGAAACTTTTAGCTGTCCCAAATATCCTAGACCCTCGTTTTAAACGACTGCACTTCAACAGTCCAATTTCTTGTGCTAATGCAGTCACCTTCCTGAATCAATCATTTCAGTTGCGACAGAAAAGGCAGAACAAAATCAAATTATTATTCTTGAAAAATCTGACACTGTTTGGGTCTACCATGACAAACTAGCCCAAAATCATACAGATAAATATGATGATACCAAATCAGATATTGACCTTGAGCTAAAACTGTATTTCAATAATCCTACTATGCCCCTAAACTCGGATCCCTTTTTGTATTGGAATAGCTCAAGTTCTTCTTCAGAGGTATTTAAAGAACTTTCTGATAAATATCTCTCTGTCGTTGGCACATCAGTTCCCTCAGAGACACTCTTTTCTGAAGCCGGAAATATACTCTACCAAACCCGAAACAGATTATCTGGTGATCGAATGTCAAATTATTCTTACATTCGCCGAGTGCTGAAGAAGGATATTTTTAAGATTTCGAACTTCGAGTTATTTGTAGTATTGTTTATATAGTTCATATATTTTATTTTAATAATAAATAAATAATCGTTTTGTAATGAATTTATTAGTATTTATTTTTTTACCTTTTTTTGTGAACTTATTTGACAATCGTCATGCAGTTGAGAAAAGTGACGTTATTTAGAGGGTTGTAAAAAAGCAACTTCGATTTTCGGCAGTGTATGTTTCGAAAGGTATCGATACTCATGGGATCGATATTTTTATTCCGATATTTTAATGGATCGATACTCCATTAAACGATACGAATCGATACTTGGTATCGATATTTTACGTGGATCAGAACATCCCTATCCCTAGGTAGGACAGCAAATGAAAGCAGAGCATAGTAGTCGTATTTTGATAAGCATTATGGCTCTGATAGGGTTTTGTTCTTCTCTCGTTCGCTGTTCTACCTAGACGATGCTGATGATTGAGAATAATAAGTATGAAACAGCGATATACAGGGTGTTCCAGAAGTTATCCCACAAATTTTAACCACATATGCACTGTTACCAAAGAACTTGAGTTCGCAAAAAAAATGTAATAAAAATCCTTCAGAAATCGAGATAATAAAATAATACAGTTTAACGGTTCACTTACTTATAAGAGCTGTTCAAAATTGTTTCCATTGACTGCAATGCAAGCTTGGGCGCGTCTAATCCAATTTTGGCGCACTAATTCAAATACACCTCCTTCCTGCAGTGCCTGAAGGATCAAATTATCGGCAGCCACTGTGATTCGGTCACGCAATTCTTCAATATTCTGAACTGGAGTACGGTATACCTCGTTTTTCAAGTATCGCCATAAAAAGAAGTCCAGGGAACTTAGATCGGGCGACCGTGGAGGCCATGCAATTGGTTCACCCCTTCTGATCCAGTGTATCTGGTATACCTGATTCAAAAAATCACGAACTTCTGGAGGTGCCCCATCGTGCAGAAACCACATCCGTGCTCGGACCGTCAATGGCACATCTTCAACAAGTACCGGCAAATAATTCCGAAGAAATTCCAAATACTGTTGACCATCCATCCGATCTGGCAATATGAACGGTCCAATTAGACGTTCATCGACAATACCTGCCGACACGTTTAAAGAAAAACGATGTTGGAAGTGTGTCTGGACCACGTGAGGACTCTCAAAGGAGCAAACGTGTGTATTGTGCAGATTGGTTATCCGATTACGAGTAAAAATAGCTTCATCGGTGGTCAAAATATCAGCTTCCACAATATCCAAAATTTCGTCTTCGGCATTCACAACGCATTGTGGGCGAACCCGACCCCCATCCACCCACGTCTGGGGCGCAAATCTCCACTAGCACGTGCACAATTGAACTAAATGTTTCGTGATGTGGTATGTGCCTATTCGGAAATTGGTGTGCATTCAAACGAGAAGCCGCCCGCTAATTTTGCCCTGCTTCTGCGTACGCTAAAACAATGTCCACTAACTCCTCATTAGTGTACACATGTGTCATTTTTATTAATAAATAACTAAAAACATAAACTCTCAAAATACTTTATTTAACTTCATAAAAATCGACCGTTCTTCATTCAGATCACCCACGATACTGGTATTTATTTTTCAATTCATTATTGAAACTCGGGTTTATTACTTAATTTCTGTAGGAGTTTTATTACATTTTATTTATTTTTTTTGAAAAATCAACTTCTTTCGTAACAGTGCATATGTGGTTAAAATTTGTTGGATAAGTTGTGAAACACCCTGTAAACGGTTAACCCTCTGTTGATCGGGTGAATGAAAGCAGTATTATTAGTTTTCAATGTCAAGCAGACCGTTATCTAGTATAATGCCAGAATCGACAGCAGCAAGCGGTCTTAGTGATGTCTCGGCTTTCAGCAGTTGCGTTATATGCCCATCGAAATGAGTGTAGAGGGTTGTCTCTTGCACAGTTAACGTGAACTCGCCATCAATAAGCCATAATGCACATTCCACCACATGAAGCCACGGCGGACATTTGGCCGATGTTATATTTGATGCAAATTGGTATCCCTAATGTGAAAACATCCGTTAATTCGTCACATACAGCTTATTTTGTTTCATTGGAAAACTACTTACTCTAAACTTTCCTATGATACAATAGGAATGGAAGTATAAACATGTAGATATGCCAATCAATATGTATTTTGTCATTTGAAGTGAGTAACTGTACCATGGGTGAAACTTGACACACTCTGCAAGTCGATCCTTAACGCAACTACTACTCGCATTTGCACATGTACACAAAAATTGAGTGAGAGAAGACCGTTGTTTTCATTCACTTTCTGAAAATACGAAAAATAAATTCAAGACATTGTAGATGTGTTTTCAAGCAATGGTACGTTTAATATGAAGATCATCAAAAAGTAAACTCAAATCGCAAGTTGCCATACTGACAGTGACAAGTAAAAAATGCCGAGGACACATACAGATACGTTAGCGAGAAAATTTTCGTGATGGTGAAACAAAACTGAGAATCGTATAGAGACTGATTTCATATGTACGTATCCTGTAATTTCACTGTGACCCGCCAAAAAGATCTGTAGATAATAATATTTACCTTCCCCCGACAGATCCGCCCCAGCCGGCGACCTCTTATCCTCTCTGCACTCATCAAAATCGTTGAACGCATCCACATCCTGCTGATCCGGCAATATGGCCGCCAGGTCCTCCTGCCGTATCTCCTGCAAACTGCAGCTGGCCAACATGGCGCTGTCCGCATCATCAGAATCTTCCCCGCCTTCTGCAGTTGGGGCGGTACCACTACCCCCACCAGTGGCTGTCGTGGAGTTGGTTCCGCCTCCGTTGGGGCCTGGTTGATGAGAGTTGGCACCGCCTTCCTCCGAGTCCGAAGAGGTGGTGCCGGATGTTGAGGAGGAGGATGAGTAGGCGGAGTGGCCGCGGGAGAGAGGCAGGGATGCCATCTGTAACAAAGAATAAGGCTATCACTGATAAACGAAAGGCTGATAACATTCTGGGTGAATTTTGTAATTTTTAGAATTATTATGTCGTCGTTGAATGTCGCTATAGTTTTCGTAAGGGGAGAATCCAAAACTATTGTAAAAAAGTCTGTTTTATGGTTGAACCCAGTCATGGCCGCGTTCCAAGAACATGCTGACGCAGTTCCAAACGTGTGAATGCTGCCCGGAATCTAGCCAAGCATTTGTAGAGGCTTTTGAAGATTGCGGCAAGCCATTTCCAAATAACAACTAAAAGGGATAACCTTTCTACAAAGTAGGATACTAAAATAGAGTTGATGTTCAAGTCGAAAATATGTGTGGTTCTTGGATTACAAATGGACTATTTTGATCATCACTATGAAGCCGACATAGGAAATATGACCATCAAATGAACTAGTTTGACAAATTGAACAAAAATCAAGATGCTATATTGTACAGACTGCAGAGTATAAAAACTACAAGAGAGAACATTTGGGCAATGAAATCTGCTAAAATAAAGTGGAGGTTCAGGTTTTTCTCGTGATTACAATTGGACTATTGTTTTGGGACCATTCTCATATGCCTTTATGTCTTACATTGCTCCTTTGAGGCATTTCATTATTATTCATTGAAACTCATATCTACCAACATACTCTCTAAACAAAATATTGGTGCCTACATAGAAATTCAATGAACAAAGTAATCCCATTCTTTACCTTTCAAAATCCTCCCTTATTTTTTATATTTTTAAAATTGTTGTCATAGCAGTGATGGAATTTTAAATGTATCATGTACCTATTGTTTAGTGTTGATCAAAGACAACCTGATGTATCAGAGAGATAAGCATATTTCGCTTTGTCTTGGGTAATTTCATAGCAATATATTTGTACTAGAGATTTTGTAACATACAAATACAGTGGATTACTTGAAGCATTTCTTCATAAATTAAGGGATTTTCTGGGATGAGAGTGTAAAATTTAATATTTTGCAATATTTTGCACAGAAATTACGGAAATTCAAAACTTAAGAATTAGTAGTCATCAAACATATGAGAATGTGTCTCATAAAGCAGCGTCTTCAATACTTCCGGCTTTTACACATCAGATAGGTTGACTAGGACAGTAAGTTACTAAGTTACTTATATCCGACTTCTTTAATCAGGGATATAAGTGTAAGCAACCAGTTTGGCGATGCTTTTCAATAAAGTGAAATGAATTCAGATACATTCGGATTGGTGCACATTGATAAATATTATCACTAAGTAGAAGCGTCCTCAAGGTGATTACTATAGGTTGAATAATTCTAATTAGGTAATTATATAACAGTTAAATGCCAAAAATGAAATTAGTTTATAAATTGTAGCTGTGCCAACATTCAATGCCTCACATTAATCTCCCAACGTCACTCCAACATTGTGCAATCTACAATATACGCATCCATACTCTGTTTACACAGTCGGCACAGCCATATTCCGTCCTCCCCTTTACAAAATCCATCCCGTTTCACCCCACCTTGCACAGCATCACCTTCAGCGCTCTGTCGCCGTCATCCATATCCCAACGGATGGATCACCAGACACATGAGCACGACACAAACACTCACACACGCCCAACAACACGCGGTTTGGCGCGCTTTTTCCACCAAAACAATCGAAAAACGGCGTACAAGGCACTCCGAGACGCGACGTCGACGCCACCGCGATCGTCTACTGTCAATTCTCAATTTTACGCGAACGGCGCGGCGTCCTAGCTACCGGGCCTCGCAGAGGGTAGTCCGCCGATAATCATGAAAGGGGGAGGAAAACTCAAAAGCAGGGACGGAGTTGCCGTTTCACGACCACAATTTATTTCCCAAGTTTCAAAACAAAATGATAAAAAGGCATATACAGGGTGAAACTTGGAGGGTTTAGGAAATCGCCTTTACCGCTGAATGTAGAAAGGAACTGATGTCATTTCTCACGGATACGCCACCAGCAATGACACATCTGCAAAACATAACATGAGAAACCCGACCGATTAAAACACATCCCCTTTCTTCGGAATGCCAAAACCCTTCACCCTGGAACCACTCTCGTATTACTTGAGAGTGAAGGTTGCTGTAAAACTTATTCAGTATTGTTTGGTGAGTCTTCCGTGTGGGGTGGTAAGTAACGGGTGCGCCATCTTTTCGGTATTGAAACATCGAATATTTACCAACCGAGTGATTTGGTTATACGTGTTTCTGACACGTCAATTTACTACGATTTTAGTCATAAATCCCTTTACACCGAAACAATGCGCCGAAATAGTCACAATGTACATTGAAAATCGTCATTCAGTTGTGTTAACGCAACGTGCATATCTTCGAAAATATCGTGGCAAACAGGCACCGTCTGACAACACTATCCGTTGTTTGGTTTCGAATTTTTTTAAGTACGGGACAATGGCAGATCGTCAACATACTGTTCATCAACGACCAAGACTTTCCAATGAATTGGTTGAAGCGGTCAGAGACAGCGTTGCCCAGAACCCAAGAGTGACGTATTGTCACCGCGCTCAGATTTTTGGCATCAGTGGAGCCACGTTGCGGCGCATTTTGGAGGATCATTTGCATTTGTTCCCTTATAAGGTGCAGTTAACACAAAATATATTGACGACTGACCTCCACGTCGCTTGGAATACGTCCAAACAGTCGCTCGCACGGTTGATGCTGAATCTGATTTGGAAGCAAATTGTGATGACCGACGAGGCCCATTTCACTCTCTCTGACGGCGTTAATAAGCAAAACTGCCGCATTTGGGGGACGGAAAATCCACATGAGATCCACGAAATGCTGTTGCATGACCGAAAAGTGACTGATGGGGCCGCCGTTTGCGGCAAAACCATCATTGTGCTATTTTTCTTCAACGAAAACGAAACAGTCGATGGAATCGATATCGGTGGATGTTGGCTCATTATGTCTGCCCAGAAATGCGTGAAAAAGGTCTTGATGGTTACTGGTTTCAACAAGGCGGTGCGCCAAGCCACACTTCAAATGAAACAATCCAGTTTCTGCAACGAAAATTCCCTGGACGTCTGATGTCAAACAGAGATGACATTGACTGGCCACCCAGGTCTCCAGATTTGACCCCACCGGACTTCTTCTTGTGGGGTAAGAAGTAATGAAAAACGCAGCAAAACGGGCACATTTTGTTTTGGCCAATAAAGGTGGCCACTTGATAGTTGTGTTAAAAAACTAGTCTCAATAAATTGTAAAGGACCATATTTAATGAAAATACCCGATATAGAAATCAGTCTTTCGTTTTCAAAGTTATTTCATGTTTACATACCTACATAAAAGATGGCGCACCCTGTACATATTACTTTACACATGTTCTGGATCGCGTTCCAATTAAACTCGCTTTCCAGCATAGTACCTATGATATTATGTGTACTAAGGATGGCGCCTGTTTCCGAGTAACATCGTTCACTTTCTTGTGAACAACGTGTAGAGCAGAAGAGTGTATATATTTATCACCTGCTTTGCATTGGCGGCTCGTTGAAATGCCTAAAGGACCGCTTTTGTGGAGGTAGTTACCCGTGCCCAGATAGCATTTGCGTGAGAAAGAAGTCAACTTCTCCGTGGCTTCTTGTGAGCCAAGGTTGTTTAATTTAAAGTCTGGTCTAAACATTAGCCCTAGAGAGTCTGGTTTCCAGGATTCAGAGTGTCAAAGTTTTATAAAATTTTTGTTTTTTTATCAACATCTCAAATACCCTGTTGCCAATTTTGTTGAATTATGTCAGTGTTATTTATTGCAACAACACGCTAACTTAGTAAGGAGAAGAAGATAATCATGAAGTGCAGTGGCGTCTCATGAACAGTTCGCGAATAACAATATTGATAAATAAATGTACGCCAATGAATTTAAAAAAACATCTTGTTTTGTTTCTGTTGTGTTCGTTATTTAAAACCGGCCCTGACCGACAGACAACATGCACCGAAAGGGCAGACTGAGAGGGAGAGAAAGAGACAGATAGCGACGGCTTCAACACGAGGGGTGGAAGGCGATGCGCCAACTGTTGCTTGCGAGACTTTTTATCATAGAAAAATACAGAAGAGGGGCTAGGGGGGGGGGGGGATAAAAGAAAAGGGTGAATGGCATCGCGTGTTATTGTCTGTCCACATATGAAAATCGGCTCAGGTGGAATGAAAAATTCAATGATATACGAGGGACAATACGGAACTTCTTTGATGGTTAAAATTATTGATGGTAACATTTCTCGCGCTTGATGGTTTGACCCATTATACGCTATCATACACTAGGATCATACCAGAATCGTATCCAATACTTGAAACAGGCGATCAACCCGGCACGGGTATTACCTGTCTTAAAAAGTGGCATTTTGTCAGCTTAGGTTTTACTAAAAGATGTTAACCTAGCACTAGCTGTTGGACACTTGTTGGGAACTTGTTTCGTAGCTGTACATGCTGCCTAAACGTCATGATGCTTCAGCTACCAACCAATGTTTGGCTCTGATGTGACATAACATCTGCTTCAGAGATGGCATTATTGGAGGTCTAAGCTGTAAGTTGTATACTATAGCTGGAAGGAAACGCCAGTGCATAGGTGTATAGTGAGGATTTGAGTGGTAATAATCTATGTTCATGATAATTCCATCAAAATCATGAAGCTGTTTTAGCTGTGGTCAGTCAAATCGAATTATTTTTGGCCACATAATTACACACGCGCGATAACAGCCACGCAGTGGTCTAGAACACCGAATAGCTGTCAAAAATTAAAAATTCTACGACGTTTATACCATTTTTAGAGAAACAGCTTTTTCGGTCGCTGATTTCAAATCTGGAGTTGGTTTCAAGGCATTTAAAGGTCATATCAAGGAGGCAAAGAAAACGAGCAGTTCATCCAGTCATTAGCTTGGGCATCCGAGGTCATTTCAAGGTCACTTCATGGACAAAGTCACAACAAGTCTAACATTCGAGTCCACACGCGCGTCTTAAGGGTATTAAAGGCCACTCGAAGGACAAATTTGAAGAAGTTGAATAACCGTTTCCGACCACCTGCCATAATATGGCAGAGTACCAGGATATATTTCTCAACAGTTTATGAAATTTAGCAGTTATTCCAATTGCGATAAATGGCCAAATCTTAGTAATACTAGTATAAACAAATGAAGCTAAAAGAATGTACATAAAAACAATAATAATGACAGATTTCTGTTAAATCAAATGAAGGTTCGAATTCTATTATTATTTATATCCAGATGCTCATGTAATTCCAACACAAGACAACGATAAAGCCAAGAAGTAAGCAAAGTTCTGATTCCAGGGTCTATTTGTTGTTCAAGGTACTAACTTTGTTTTTTCAACTTTTGGCAGGTTTTCGCATAGATAGGCCACTGAGTCGGGTAAAAAGGAACAACTGTAATATTTTGGACGAAATACACAAAAAGAATTGTATCTTTCGTTTTTCCCCGTACAAAAACTGACCATTCCGATATGCTTTTCAACTTCTATGGCCGTTCCTCATGCCTGTAGACGGGGGACGAACTGAATTTTTTTCTAAACGTTTTTGTTTTATAGTAACAATTCAAAAAAGAAGAAGTTTTAGCGTTCGTATGTGCCTAATTTTATCATGGAAGTTGGGTGTGATTTAGAAAATTCCCCTAGCTACCTTGACTCTTTAGCAATCTGAGAACGCTTCATTTAAACAATAACGTCATAGCAGCTCTTTTATTTTCAAGATACCAAGTCTTCTCATTTGAATTACAAAATTAGCATTCTGTTTGGTTATTACACTTTGAGTTAAAAAATTGCAGAACCTCTCTAGGAGAGAAATTAAAGTCTAATGGAAGACATACTTCCATAAATTAGCAATGTTTATTGCACATATTCTCATCATCTTTATCGAAGCAATCAATGAGAAATACAACTAGTATCTACTAATCCACCGGAAACATAAGAATCCAGCACTTCTTCATTAGGTTATTTAGAAGGAACACACTTTTGGTTTCCGTCAGTCGGAAGGTCGTAAAAAGTTTAGTGCCAATAAACTTCTTATATTGGATAACAAACTATTTAACTAACTATTACAAATTAAAAAAACACATTTTAATTCCAATGCAATTAGATAGTGCGGCTGACGTTGGATATTTAGAACTTAGTTAACTGAAGATTCCTTTCTTACCAAAAAATAACTTCTATCCAGAAAAAGTAATGAGTTTACTTCGGAAATTTATCAGATAGTAAAATGACTTTGAAGGTCATGATCAGGTTCACTAGCAAAGTTATACGTGAACTTAAAATTGTCACCAATTTGCATTTCAGAAACTAAAAATTCATGCTTCCAGTTCAAAACGCATTTGATCTTCAAATGACCTTGATAGTCACAGTCAAGGTGATTGACATACTTGAACATGAAATTTCTTGCTGTTTTTATTACCGGTGTCAAAAATAGGGGTGCCTGTCATGCCTTCAAATGAGCTTTAAGGTCATAGTCAAGGTCACGTTCAAGGTCATTATTAGATAAACCTTTTCAAGCCTTACAACCTCATTACTCAATGCTTTTCTTTGTGAATTTTGTCTTTACCTTACTTTATAGACACCCTCAAATACGAAGGTCATGACATTTCCGGTGTCAAAAATAGCGGTTTCATTTAATAAAACTGTCTTGACTCTCAATTGACCTTGTAGGTCATGATCAAGGTGACGTTCAATTGTTTCAAATCTTATAACTTTGTTCTACAACATTTTTCTATAGGAAACTTAATTTTCGAAGTATGGATATAAAGTTTTTCAACACCATTTTCGCGGATAGAACCATGCCTATAACCTGCCTCGGGTTTCAATTAGTAAGTGTACAAAGAATCAAATGGTACGAAAGAAATCCAACAAATTGTACATACATGTACAAACATTATTGCCATTATACAAAACTAGTAAGTGTTTATTGAAACGTTTAAGTTATTAATATTCTCAATTTTAAAGACGACACTATAATAAAATCCAAGCCCGCACACCTTCAAGAATATTAACTTGCTTGTTGACCTCACAAGGTCAGTTACATGAAAGTACGACCAGACGAGGAACTATATGAGAGCCGAGAATAAAGATTACGAAAAGTAAAACCACTTGCGTAAAACCTTTTTAAACGATGCCCCGCAGTGGTTATGTTAAACTGCGACCAAAAAAATATCGAAAAAGACAATCTGTCGAATAACATTCCAAAAGGTGCAAATGGAATCTCATTATAATATTCTCAAAATCGGTACATACAAAAGTAAGGACCGAAATAATATCTTCAGTTTTAAGGGTAAATGTCGGGAGACATTTATGATGTGTGAAATATAATAATTTTTCTGAAAATGATCACGAGCTTGTCAGTACAAGCTATTGTAAAACGTCAAAAAGCAAAGTTTTAGCAATTTTTAATTTTTTCGTGTTTTTGCCCCTAGATCCTCCGCTACTGGACCATTTTTCAAAAACTATAAACATTTTATCAAAACCCGAACGGTGCTTTCCAAGTTATAGAGAGGCTAAGAATTAGAGGACAGACATACAGGCGACATACGTTTTTTAGTGATATACATGTAATAAAATTACGCGATTACAATAATTCCTAGACAGAAGGCATGGGAAGTAAAACGATTCGATTTCTAGGAAAAACTGTTCAAGAAGCTCAGAGATCAAAGGTTTTTTCGCGAGTGCTCCTCCTGCTAGTAATTCTGTATTCTTTGGAGGAAGCAACTAGTTTGCCACCGAGTGACCTTACTTTTCGTATTCGGTACACTTTGGTGAAACCAGATGAGGAACTACTATGATTATCAATTTAGTGTAGCTAATCAATTAACGAAGGTGTTTTTCTATTTCTTGGAACGTCAATAACCGCGTATACATATATTATGGATAAAATTCAAATAAAAAAGTTATTTTTAACATAGGCAGACGACATGTCATATATCCAGGAACATGTTTTTGGATAAAGCCATTAGTGTTCTCAGAATAATTTTCCGCTTAAAATTTCTAGGATAGCATTATTTTTTTTTATAAAAAAGCAGTTAGGAGTAACGCGACTCACGTTGGTGAAACAAAAAGAAGCATTTTCTGGCAAATGGTTCCACATTCACGATACCCTAGTAATGAAGGGGTGGTTATAAAATGGAGCCTGACAGGTCAGCCCAGCAGGACTAAAACACTCAGAGAAGCAAAGTCCGATTATACATCGTTTTGAAAAGGCTAGATTGTTTTCATATTCTCGCAGAAGCCAAGAAGTTCTTATCTACATACCTGACCATTTAGCAGATTTTATGACATAAAATGAAAATGACAACCATAGACTGTATTGCGGCGTCCACAAAGAGATATGAGACAG